ATTAATTTCTAGAGAAACTTGGATTAAAATTGGCCGACCCCGATATCAACCTACATGTTATAATGCCAAGAGTGCGTCAGGAACTAATATTACTCTTCTTGGAGTAATACAGCTACCTCTCACGTTTGGTGAAAAGACTATGACCGGGAAATGTTACGTATCCGGGAACTGTCACACCAATCTATTAGGTATTGATTGGATTGATAAATTTGGTTTGTGGGATTTACCGTTGAATGTGCCGAAAGCAGAATCCCAGTCATGGCCAGAAACGAAAAAACCTTGGATCCGACTACATGTTGATTATGCTGGACCTATAAGTGGACAATATTTTTTGGTGGTGGTAGATTCGTACTCGAAGTGGCCTGAAATTTATGTGGTACGAAGACCATCTACGTCTGAAACACTGCTACGTCTGAGACAATTATTTGGTAGGTTTGGTACACCTAATGTTTTGGTTTCAGATAACGGGACGCAGTTCACGTCGTTAGAGTTTGCGGAGTTCTGTAAACAGAATGGAATCGAGCACGTTAGAACTCCACCGTATCACCCTAAGTCGAACGGGCAGGCAGAGAAACTTGTTGATATTCTTAAACGAGCTCTCTTAAAGATGGGAGGAGAAGGCAACGTAGAAGAGGCTCTGCAACAATTTCTCATTTCTTATAGAATTACGCCAAGTCCAAACTGTCAAGATGGGAAATCTCCAGCCGAAATAATGTTTGGCCGACCGATTAGAACATTTTTTGATGTTTTGAACCCGAAAGACAGAATCAGTGGACTACAAAAAAATAAGAAAGGGAATTGCCTGAAAATTCGAGAATTCAAAGTAGGTGACTCAGTCTATGCACGGGATTTCCGGCCTGGCAAGCCAAAATGGATATTTGGGTTTATAAAAAAACTACGTGGTACAGTATTATATGAAGTGATGGTCGAAAATACACTAATTATTAGACATGTAAATCAACTGCGAGATAGAAAATGTGTTTATGAGTCATCTAAACTCAAACCATTACCAATGGAAGTATTATGTGATACGTTTGATATTCCACCACCACCACCACAAGTTGAAATGAGAAAAAATGATCTAGAATCAGAAGTTAGACGAAGGTCATTCAGGAAACGGAAACAAACGAAATTTTTTCAAATAGACCCTAAAGTGAAATCATACGATCAAACTTCGCGAGGGAGGTGATATGTGGGCGAGAATGTCAATGATTGGTTGTCTCGATGAGTCAGACATTAGAGGGGATGACAGGTGTTATGTGTTATATATATATTTCCCTATCCTTATTATGTATGGACTTATTGACTGTTCCATGTGTCGGATTTTGGTGTGAAATATATTGACGTTATAGTCAGGCTAATATTGTGTTCTTGATCTGAGTTCTGTTGAAGTCCTGTAGAATAGACACTGGGTGGGAATCTAGTGTAGATATTCGTCTAAGATAAATTAACGTCCCACATACGTGTAAGAAGTAAAAGGACTGTTATAACCAGAAACCCCTAAGGTTATAACCAGCATCCTCTCTCTCTCTACGTTTATAACAATTGGCGACGGCATACATACGTTTATAACACATTCTATGGATTCCCTAACGATTTTCCCTTCGTACAGCTTTCTGGCCTTACGGAGGGTCGAGGCACAGGTATTTCGAGCCTTTTGATACTGAGATTTTGCCTCGTCAGTCCCCAGTAACCTAAATCTATCCCACATTTTCCTTCTTTTACGGAGAAGGATGCGAACCTCCCTACTGAACCACGGTGGGGAGTTTCTCGGCCCCTTAGGTGTAGTCCAAGGGATGTGGGGGGCGGTAACTTTTAAGTATAAATTCCGGAATACGTCCCAAACCGTTTGGAATGATGACTCTGGGTCTAATTTCCAATCCACTGATGATGCTGATTTCATGATGTCTGGTATGTTTGCTTTCCAGACGTTAGGTCTGGGTTGAGCTGAGGCGTGCTCGTGATCGACAGTTATATGGAAGTCAAAGCTTAAAACTGCATGATCACTTTTGCCTAGGGGTGGCATGTAATCCAGGTTTGCAACATCATCCTCATAATGAGTCAATATAAGATATAGTAGGGATGATGCAGAACCCGGGTCGTACCTAGTTGCTTCCTTCACGTGTTGCACTAGAGCACATGTGATTACCGCATCAACTAGTCCCTGTTCGAAGGAATTTGCTGACGATTCAGTCCGCAGGTCTCCCCAGTTCACCATGGGTGCATTGAAGTCCCCTCGGACTAGACATCGATCACTTCGTGACAAAGTGTTGAGACTGCTTAGCAGGACCTCGTTTATCTCACAGCTTAGACTGCGATAGATCAAACCAAGCAGTAATTCTTGTCCCCTGCATTTCAGGCGGCAGCTAACTAATTCACACGTCCCACTCTCATGGGATACACTGTCGATAATGGTGAATGGAATAGCATTCCTAATGAATAGAGCTACTCCCCCTCCTTTACACATTTGCATTCTATCGGCCCTTACTAATGTAAAACCCTCGAAATCAAGTTCCCTACTATCTATAAACGGCGTCAGCCATGTTTCTGTGACTGCGATTATGTCTGGCCTAGTTAAGTTAATCTGTACACCTAGTTCCGGTAGCTTATTGAGTAAGCTCCGGGCATTGGTATAACTGATCCGAAGCCTATTAAAGTGGCCTCGTGCTTCACCCAGAGTGGCTTCGGCATCATCCTCTGTCGAAGCCTCACAACCCGAAAATTTACAATTTTCAGGTCTTTTTCGCCAGCGTCTAATCTGAGCTGTAGTTCCTTTTCGGCTTCCCGTCTTTTAACACGGTCCGCCAACGGTAAGTCCTTACGGAGAAAAACTCCTGAACCCTTTAATTTGTGTCCATTTTCTAAGATTAAGTCGCGTTCGTTTGAGGATTTGAAAACGACTTTGAGTAGTCTAGGCTGATTAGGCTTCAGATGCGCCAGGTTTCCTAGTCTATACACCTCTAGCAAGGTGACTCCGTAGATGTTTTGGGGCATAGTTTGGCTGAGTAATTGTTTCATCAACACAATGTCATGCTCAAAACGAGCTTTCGGTTCTAAGCTGTCACTCTCCTTGACTCTATGGAGAATGACTGATCTGTCGCTGTGATCAGACTTCGGCTTTTCAACCCTTTTGGTGGGAGTAGGATTCCCTTTTACGTCATTTTGCCGTTTTTTCGTTACGACCCGTACCCAATCGTCGACGTTCTTTGGAGTAGTAACCACAGTCGTGTCAGGCGTACTGTGGGATTCCGGAATGTTTAGGACAACTTGGGAGGTTGGGTCATCTTTCGCGCTGGAAACCGATCGAGCCTTGCGATTTTGGGTTCCCTTCTGGGTACCATTTTTGATACGAGGGACAGAAGAGACATTTTTTCTCGAGTTACTGGTTGTGACAGACCTCTTTGGAGGATGTCCTTCCTCCTTTGGACAGTGTGGGTCATCATTTTTTGGACTCACTTGGGCCTGCCTTATGTCGATATGCGTGTCGACAGATTGAGTTCTGACTGATGTGTCCCGACCGCGCTTGCCGAGACACTTTTTTGCGGCATTTACTATTGAGATGGCCTCGGTTAACAGGCTATTTGTATCCAAACAGCACTGTTGACATAGCCATACACACCCATTTTTACTGAACCGCTTGAAAGCTGCAGGTGTTAGATTCGTGCAAACATCGTGGTACCAACCTTTGCACTCATCGCACTGCATGCCGCTATCAACAGGATATCGACATCCTGGGCGGTGGCAAATGCTTTTGTTGCATCTTCCAGTCATTTTAGGATGCGAAAGTGAGTGTTGACCACAAGTAGAAAAAAAACTATAAACAGTTAGGACCAAAGTACTAACAGACACAATGGAAAAAAAGGTACTCTGGAGTACCGACGATAAAACTATTTAGGATATCAAAGATGATACTCTAATAGAATACTTTAACTGAAAGAAATTCAATCAAAGTATACACAGTAGTCTTGATACGTTAATAACGATCAAAACAATAGAATTTACTTAACGAGGGAAAATACCACTGTCCTTTTTTAAATAGCGCGCAACAAAAAATCCTCGGTCCCCTTCTCTTTATACTTTATGTAAATGAATTATCAACTATAGCTGTCATCCGTCCTACTCTTCACCGATGACATAAAGATTTGGAGACCCATATATAGCATGACAGACAGAATGATATTAAAGGAAGATCTTAACTCATTAGTGGCATGGATGAACTGGTGGTCACTAGGAGTAAATCCTAACAAAAGTGTAGTGGTGCAACTAAATAACCACGATTATTCGTATTACTACACAATATGTGGATTTGTGTCACCCAAAATAAGAAACTATAAAGATTTAGGAGTCATACTAAGCAATGATCTAAAAACAACTAGCCACTGTAAGGCTGCTGCTGCAAAAGGCTATAGGGTATTATGGTCTATTCGTAGATCTTTCCGGTATCTGGATGAGGAAATGTTTAGATTATTATACCCAACTTTCGTTCGACCACATTTAGAATATGGGATTCAAGCAGCGAGTCCTTGTTTCAAATATGAGGCGGATATACTGAAACGAGTCCAGCGCCGCGGGACTAAAATAATGAAAGGTCTATCTGGTCTATCTTATGAAGATAGACTGAGACACCTCAACTTATTTCCGTTATCTTATCCGTAGAATACGGGGTGATCTAATATTGGCATTACATATCCTGAATGATAACCTTGGTACTAACTTGTCCTATCTTTTCCTTCCATCTAGGGCTGATCATTTAAGAGGACATTCGAAGAAAGTCCAAAAACCGAGACCAAATCGTCTGCGTTTAGAGTTTCGTTTCTCTCACCGAGTAGTGAATTACTGGAATTCTCTACCAGAACACGTAATATTGGACCTTCACGGTGTAACAAACTGCGAGGGTTAAAATAGGTCAATATACCTCTTATCCTTATTACTGAAGACTGAAGACTGAATCGTGAAATTTAAGTGTATTTCCACCGATGACCTTGAAGTCTCAGCAAACTACTTGCCAATCAGCGAAACTCACACCTTGGATTGGGAGATACTTCACTGTTGATGTTACTCAGCTTACTGGGGCCGTAATTTGACCGTGAGTACTTCTTGATGATCTTAATGGCTTTCAACTAGTGTTATTATCATCAAGTTTTTACTTTGTGGAGTGTTCTTTTGTCACATCCCCTAATTCAATTACTAATCGAATTCGAATGACACTCTCAATAAGCGTTCGGTTTATAGTATTCTATATGGCTCATACAACGCTGCCGCAATTATGGGACTGCTCTGAACATCGCTCCATTTTAGATGTATTTTGTTGTGAATTAATCCAGGTAACCAAAAAATGGCAATTAAAGTGAACATGTGGAAAATAGAGTGAAGATTCTCTAAGAAAATAGGAGGAAAATTATAGGACAATGCTCCTTAAATCTTCCTTTGCCACTTGCTTTGGTGAAATGGTGAGGCATATACGTTTTTGTCCCTTTGGGTTTGAATTGTTGCCGAATTTACGACTCCAAGTGTAATTACAGTTATATGCTCTTAGCCCAAAATGTCTCTTATGTTTATGCCTGGCTAAAGACTTCTATTTACAGGGAATAAATCGTGGCCTGCTTGGAGCCTAATGAAATTCAGTCACACGTCACATCGTTGTTGCAAGTTCAGTGTTTGATAGTCATCGAAAAAGACCCGTAAAAAACCCATAGTGGGCAGTGCGTTATTTACTAAGAATGTGTCCTGATATTCAACTCAACATATAATCACACTTCATTTGTTTCAGCGTAGAACATTTAATTGCGAAAGTATACTTAGATAATAATGGCTGTTTAGAAAATCTGGTTTAAAATAGTCTCAAAAATTAACGCCGTTTTAGAACTTCAGTGTCCCTCTTCAGAAACAAAATAATCTTCCTGTAAATTATGAAGCAAAATAATGTTCAACTTAAACATCTTTGATACCAACACATGGCAACATATGGAGAGGCTTATGTAGTTTGTTAACACTGAACCTATAGAACAGCAATCTGAGGCTATCATTTCAAATCATTACTTACATTATATCTCCTCCTACGATGCTCTTGGAATTCATCTCATGTTATAGAAGTAACCTCTTGTTGCCACACCAATCAAATCTTCTAGATCTTTTTCTGCAACAGTTGACGATAAAAAGTTCGGTTTTAGTGCGCATAATTAGTAAGAATTAAAAACAAACATCGTATACTGCTATAAAACTTGCACCTTTGAAGTGTTTTTTCTCATGTGTCAAGTAATGCAAAGTAGTTGACCATATCAGGGTTCATAACATGACAAAATATAGTTTATAGAAGTTTTGAGATTGCCTAATTGAGTGTGATTCATTTATGAACATTTATAAATAAAATGTACTTTTCTAGTGGTGATAACGGACATTCCAGCAACCTGAACCTCGGATAATGATCGTAATTTTCCAGCCTGAGTTTCAGCCATGTTCATGTCAGATGAACTGTATAAATACCCTGGTTTCTGTTTCGAAGCCCATCTACCAAAGATTGATAGGATTTCTGTACTTACCTCTTAGGTTTCCATGTATTTAGTGGGAGTATGTTTTCGTCAATTGAAATATTGGCATGATATCCATCTAACTTGCCGAAGGAGATCAATGATTCCTTTGCAGTCTTCGAATCGTCCGTGGGAAATGAACGTATGTAACACCACAGTAGTGGATAGCCTCACACCTGATAAATAACCAACTGTAATGTGCCTAAGCACCATTCTTAAGGTTCATATCCACAAAACACGATAAACACAAAGTTTTTCTCCAACAAGTCTCTTGCTTGCTGTAATTATTGCCTACTTCCGGCAACACCAACCAGTTTGTCCTGCCCCCCATGGCCGGTGACGACTGATCCACCAAACGAGGCGGAAGTCCGCAAGGAACTCCAACTCTTGAAACGCTACAAATCACCGGGCCCAGATGACTTACCTCCGGCTCTTTTTAAAGATGGTGGTGACTTTCTGGCTAAGGAACTGACTGTGTTGTTTGCAAAGGTCTGGGAGCAAGAAAGTGTTCCAACATCATGGAATGAGTCAATAGTCGTCCCTATCTTTAAAAAGGGTTCACGTTGTTCCTGTAACAACTATCGGGGGATAAGTCTACTTCCGATTGCGTCCAAACTATTGGCTTCTATCATTCTTCGTAGGTTGTTTAAAACCCGAGAACGATTGACTCGCGAGGAGCAGGCTGGTTTTCGTTCTGGTCGAGGATGCATTGATCACATCTTCACCCTCCGCCAAATGTTAGAACACCGTCATAATTATCGCAGGCCAACAATCGTAGTGTTTCTTGATATCAGGGCTGCCTTCGATTAGTTGGACAGGACTGTTCTCTGGGATTGTCTATTGAAGAAGGGTGTGCCTGAGAAGTTCATTAACATCTTAAAGGCCCTGTATACGAACACCTCAGGCAGATTGAGGGCATACAACCACCTTTCTCCCTTGTTCCATTCGAGCAGTGGGGTTAGGCAGGGTTGCCCGATCTCACCATTCCTCTTCAACTTTGCCATCGACGACATCCTGGAAACAGCTCTGGTGGATGTAAGTAATGGCGGTGTGGATATGTTGCCTGGAGAACGACTTCTCGACCTCGAGTATGCGGATGATATTGTCTTACTGTGCGATAATGCCCAAGGCATGCAATCAGCACTTAATCAGTTGGCAATCAGTGTCCGCAGGTACGGCATGTGCTTTGCACCCTCCAAGTGCAAAGTACTCCTACAAGACTGGCAGGATTCTAATCCTGTACTCACCCTGGATGGTGAGGAGATCGAAGTAGTTGAGAAGTTCGTGTATCTAGGTAGCTATATAAGTGCTGGTGGTGGCGTGAGTGATGAGATTGATGCACGTATAATGAAAGCCAGAGCGGCTTATGCCAATCTGGGCCATCTTTGGCGCCTTCATGATGTTAGTCTGGCTGTAAAAGGTAGGATCTACAACGCGTCGGTGAGAGCAGTTTTGCTCTATGTTTGTGAAACCTGGCCTCTCCGAGTTGAGGATTTTAGACGTCTCTCTGTGTTCGATCATCGTTGTCTCCGAAGGATTGCTGACATTCAGTGGCAACACCATGTTAGTAATGCAGAGGTTCTGCATCGTGTGTTCGGGCGCAGAGACGATAATTCAATTGGTGTCACCATCTTGAAACACCGACTTCGGTGGCTTGGACATGTTTTACGAATGTCGTCCCAGAGACTTCCACGTCGTGCATTATTTGCCGACCCTGGGACTGGTTGGAAAAAGCGGAGAGGAGGTCAGTGTATGACATGGTGTCGTGGCATGAAAGAAAGCTTCAAAGGGCTAGCTTCCGTTGGTCCTTCACGACTCCCTGGTTGGGGTCCGAGAGATGGTGCAACACAGTGGCTAGAGACGTTATCAGATATGGCTCAGAATAGAAGCCAGTAGCGATCCTGCTGCAACCTTCTTTTACTTTCTACATAAAGAATGGTTCTAACTTTCCTAACTGAAAGAGTCTTCTGGTTGTACATTCAGTCCGCCTTATCTTTTCATCCCTTCTCTTGCTACTTTCATTATTTTGTGTGGCGCATATGTACCTGGTGCCCTTTTGTACCAATATATATGTGTTTAAATAAATAAATAAATAATATATGCACATTACATAATACAGAGTACATAAATATACCTGTGTCACTGGATGAGAATGGTTCCGTAAAACAATCTAGCACGTCAGTGTGAACTGTAGTTTTAGTTAATTCTCTTTTCTCTATATCAGTGATTAGCCCAGATTTACCGTGTACTGGTACTACATTATCTAGCTTAAATGAGACGAATTTGATATTCGTGTGAGTAATTATCCGTTTCTTATAGTCGCATTTGACTGATACTGATGTGTTTATAGTGGTCGCGGGAATGCTAATTTGAAGCCTACTACAGAATATTTTTTATGCATTACACAGCTGTTTTCTGAGCTCTAGCGCAACCGCTATGCCCTAATTTCCTAATCTGCATCATGTACGGATGAAATGGAAAGGCGGTTTGTGAATGTAAAGCTTCATGTAAACTAACATCATCAGCAAGGTGCTTCAACGAGTATACATTATAAACTAAGCGTTCAGGTCTGTAGGGTTTAAACTGTTCAAGAAAGTTATGTAAATCCTTTCTAATAGAATCTGTTGCATCGCTACACAATTTAGGATGCTCTAACGGGTATATGACTAATGCTAAATGTCTATAATTTAAGTACAAAAGTAACTGTAATGAACTTTTAAAGAAATGAAGTTTAAATAAGGCAGGAACGACTGACATTTTGTCGCTTTCCAGACTGGAACGAAGCCTAAAACACGACGTTTACACTGAAAGTCAACGCAACGCCAAATTAATTTATGTTCGTAATAATATTTTAATTCATGTTTCCTAGTCTCTTGTGAAAGTAATCTAGTCATAGATTGATGGATTCCATCTCATCCAAGCATGCCATATGTATTGGATCTAAAGGGATGTTGAAACCGTATTATTAGGAGACGTCTCAAAATTGGTGTCTAGTAGTGAATAGGTTGATACTGTTGATAAAAACTGTCACCAGTTCACAAAGTATATTCACCGCCTGGAAATCTCACCCTTCCTTGAAGTCTACGACGCACCATTACACACCTATCGCAGCCCCGTTTTCTGATGTGAACTACTGTGTGAACAAGTGGATGCGTCTTAGGTGGTGGTGCCTAGTTTGATAGCCGGATATTTATTGAACCTGACACTAAATAGTGACCTATTTCTTTTATTTCAGAAATTGTATCAGCAGATATTTCATTAAACTCTGCAGGCTTGGTGTTCCTTCCATAGACATCAGTTGTGGGATGCATCAGTACGTGTGTTTGATGTGTTAATGTCCGGCTAAGTAACACTAGCATGTGGTGTTATCGTATTGGATTTGTAGGCTACCAATACTAGCATTTTGTTGTCATAAAAATACCCGCTTAGTTGACGTAAATACATCAGTCGTGGCCCCCAAATGCCCTGGTTCGGCCGAGAGTGGGGAGAGTCCGCTCTCCCTCTCAAAACGCTCTCACATGGCCACGCCTATATAGCTTCTGCCAGGGAAGTCCTACTCACTACATTCTCGTGGCGGGGGTGTTGTTTACAAAATCGGGAGGACAAAAAGCAAATGTCCGGCGCTTTAACCGGGTTGGTGGACACGGAGGGTCCACCTAGGGGATTTGGAAAACCCTGATTCCAAACCAATGGTGCACATGGGCTCCAGTATCCTGAAGGAACAAATGGCGTATGAATCAATCGTTGGTCACCGGTTACCATGGGACTGCATCTCCTCACGATGCTCCACTGTCTTGTAGATCAGACCTTTAGGTCAAAGGCTCCGGGTGTGGCTCCCTAAGAAAACCACCTGCTTCGGTTTGGGCACCAGGATAGTATCACAGCCCTCACACAAATCAAATGAGATTTGCGTGGTGCATATATATCTGGTGCCCCTTTGTACCAATATTTATGTTCAAATAATAAATAATAATAATACCTTAAAACTTATTTAAATTACTGAAATATCCAGCACGTTGCTAGCTTTATAATACAACAACATGTTTTACACTTGCTTCCTCGACAATCGTTCTAATGCTTTTGTTATTATAAGAATATTTTGTTTATTCACAGAATTGAGACTTTTATTTCTAGTACGGATCAAGAATTTTTTGTGTTTTACCATGACCACTTTGAATCGATTGCTGCATGGTACGCGTCTAGAAAGTTTGGGCATCTGATTAACAGTTTCTAAATATAAGTTTCTTTGGATTCCCATTTTCGAATTACTAACTGTTGTCGATTGTTTTTAAGCTATCAGGAACTACTAACTAATTAGCGACTTTTTTTTCATTTCATTCCATATTGTTCAGTTGGTCTACAGAAACTAGACCAGCTGAATCAATTTCTCACACTTTTCTTTACAGGCTAAACATATACCTTATATATTTACTTATTTAAAAATAAATATTGGTACAAAGGGGCACCAGATATATATGCACCACGCAAATCTCATTTGATTTGTGTGAGGGCTGTGATACTATCCTGGTGCCCAAACCGAAGCAGGTGGTTTTCTTAGGGAGCCACACCCGGAGCCTTTGACCTAAAGGTCTGATCCACAAGACAGTGGAGCATCGTGAGGAGATGCAGTCCCATGGTAACCGGTGACCAACGATTGATTCATACGCCATTTGTTCCTTCAGGATACTGGAGCCCATGTGCACCATTGGTTTGGAATCAGGGTTTTCCAAATCCCCTAGGTGGACCCTCCGTGTCCACCAACCCGGTTAAAGCGCCGGACATTTGCTTTTTGTCCTCCCGATTTTGTAAACAACACCCCCGCCACGAGAATGTAGTGAGTAGGACTTCCCTGGCAGAAGCTATATAGGCGTGGCCATGTGAGAGCGTTTTGAGAGGGAGAGCGGACTCTCCCCACTCTCGGCCGAACCAGGGCATTTGGGGGCTACTCAACTTCTTGGCTTGGGGTAAATTAACTAAACAAAATATTTGTTATGACCCACTTTCATTTTTAATATTTTAACTGCCTCATTGTGGTTATCTATTTTAAATGTCACTTGATAAAAACTCTTTTACCATAGATTTGTTTGGTGATGTAACTGTTTTATTCTCCAACCTTTAAAAGCGAAATATAATCTCCATACATCTACAAACTGCACTATGGAGCGTCTTACATTATTTCATCTACGACGAGCCGACAGAACTAATGAACCTGAAACTAGAACTATTATAGATCAAATGGAAACGGAAAGCCTTGTTAGTAAAGCGTATTATGAGAAACTTTGTCAATGGAAGGATGATGCACTTCGGTTGTTCAAAATAAACCACGTAAACTATCTCAACAAGCGACTTTTCAATCTGCCTATGAGTTTTGAACATTTAGATGCAAGCCAACCGTGGTTGGCTTATTGGATTGTACATGCTTTAAGACTGCTAAACTTTGTAATCCCTGAAGAAACCTCGGTAAAATTAATATCGTTCCTAGCATCCTCTCAGGTATGTAACCTGTTTTCAGTTTTTGAGGTATTGCTAAATTTCATCCAGTTATCTTTTACAGAGTGTTACACAGTCGAAGCTACTTTTCTTGATTCAGTAATTACAACAGTGGTTTAATCAGGGCATACATACTAGGTATAGAGAAAGAAAAGAGGTATGATATTTCAGGATTCAGTTTCTAGAGGAAGATGAATATTGAACGCACTTCTACCAGTGCAAACGATTCTAACTCATTTCACCCAAAGTCTTTGATTACTGGTTACTATAATCACACAAACTCCTACCACTTAGTGTGCACCTGCCTACATGACTCAGTCCAACATTCTGTATCTTCACGAAGTGATTCCACGTCATGATTCGACCGCCCCTAGCTTCTAACGTACTTATACACTAAACAACAACACCTACTCCAACCACCTCATTTACTGAAGATTTACCTCAGCAATCAATCTTCCATCTTTACCTAGTACCCTAGACTCAAACTCGACATTGCCTACTCGATAGTCCCAAAGCACATAAGCGATGCCTCAAAGGCATTTGCGATCAAATACCATTAACCAGTGAATATCCTCCATTCTTAATGTCAATGTTTCACATCCATAAAGCATAACGGATCAAACTGATGCATAGTAATTTCGTTCTTTGGTTGATGTTATAACTGGTGTCCGTGTACCCTATTAATGTACAAGGTAATGATACCGCCGATTAGAGAACAGTGACTTATCGGCCGCACCAATGACGCATAAACCCTTACGAGCAGTCTAGAGTCTTTATCGGTCCTCCTTCCTGTCTGGCCCTGCCTGTTAAATCCAGAACACCAATCTCAGCCTCCACGATATGAGTCATGTATTTCAAACATGCTGGGTTTATATACGAACCAAACAGACCATGTAATACCATAAAATAGAAAATAACATTTGTACATGATGTAGCCAAAAAGTGGATGTAAATGTGGGAGACTATAATTGATAAACCGGGCATAACTCAAGAACGGTAAATCGTATAATAACAGTCTATAGGTCAAAATAAAGCTTATAATAAGAGGAATATGAATATACATAGTTTATTTACTTAACAATTATACAATAAAAATATATATATAGTATTAGTCCATAAATGGATCTCGATAGTTACCATTCACTTCTCGTCGGGATATGGATAGCTTACCTGTGGTACAATCGATATAAGTTCGCAAAAGATAAACCGATATTTCGTCAGACACCAGCCCATCAACACTGATGTTGACTCCAAAGATAAATGAAGCGGTCTATACACTCAACTACTTCATTCCCTGTCGTTAATTCAGGAGATGATTCAGGTCTGTCCTGAAGCAATATTTTGCATTTGGAGGGAGAGAATCGCATCCCTAACATGCTTGTATTGTTGCTTAAAGTGACCAAAAGACTGTATTTTGTCAGCGCGGTGGCGTTCGAAGCGAATAGTTCGGGTTTAGTTTCCTGGAGTGAGCATCAACTTTGATTCATTGACATCTAGCTGACGAGTCCCGAGTGGGACGGAGCACGCGTTCTGGATTCCACTCTTAGCCATATTCCATCTACTCTATACTGACTTGTTTTAATTGCTATATGGAGGCAATCCGGGCAGAATACGCATGTCAGTCAGTCAGCTACAACGTAGGACCAGGCACATATATGCATCGGTCCAAGTTGCCATACCTCGTTAGCACAACAAGATGAACACTGGATTCATAGAAGTAATTAATTTAGTGGTGGTAGTAGTATATAAATTATAGGTTGTATATAAGGATATAGTACAGGAAGGAAGAGAGATATGAAGCAATTTTAGTCTCAAGGTTTAAGGGAAGATAAAGAGTGTATACACCTACGCCATTGTGATCGATTCTGAGCCATGTCACCTAGAGTCTCCAACCACTGGTTACGATAGTCACGCGGACCCCAACCAGGTAGTCTGCATCTGCCAACATGGCTCAGACTAGAAGTTAGTGACTTCAAACACTGATGCCATGTTTTGGTTTGGCCGCCCCTAACTCTCTTCCAACCGTCCCCAATACTAGTCATCATAGCGCGTCGTGGTAATCGGTGTTCAGACATGCGTAACACATGGCCCAACCATCTCAGTCGATGAAGATTCATCACCTCATCAACTGATTTACCATCGTTCCCTAATACCCTGCGTCTAACCTCACTATTACTTACCCGGTTATCCCAGCAGATGCGAGCAATATTTCTAAGGCATCTGTGGTCAAATACTAGTAACTTAAGAGTATCTTCTACTCTTAATGGCCATGTTTCACAGCCGTAAAGTAGAACAGAGCGAACTGATGCGCAGTATACTCGTCCCTTAATTGATAGACGGATATCTCGTCTTCGCCATAGGTGACGTAAGTTGGCAAAGCCAAACGAGCTTTTCGAATCCGTGCTGAGACTTCGTCAGACACCAACCCATTAGGGCTGATCAGACTTCCAAGATAAGTGAAGTTGTCGACGCGTTCGACTACTTCACTCCTTATCCTTAGTTCGGGTGTTGACGCAGGCCAATCCTGGAGTAGCAATTTACATTTAGAGGGGGATAAACGCATCCCAAACATCCTGGCATTATTGGAACTCTGTAATAATGCCAGGATGTTTGGGATCCGTTTCTCATGTCAGCCAAGACTGATCAAATTTCAGTCGAAATAGCAACAACTCGATAATCCAAAAAATTTCAAATTGAGTTATTGAAAAACTATGTTTTTGGAGAATGATGAAATACGTATTATGTGAAAAGGTTTGTGCGAAACTGTCCTAAGTTTGCGAGTCTAAACTACCTCTGTGTAATCATAGTTTTGGTATGGTGAGAATTCTTATCTAGATGTTTTTCGCTCTAGATGATCATAGTTGTGCTAACTTTTGTGGTGCTCGCGCATGTGTATTTTTTCCTCATGTTTTACTTCAGAATCCTGAAGGCAGTCAGAGTGTGCTTAAACTATGTTTAGAGTATGTTTACGGAGGTGCCAAGATAGTTAAAATATTGTTCTGGTTCTGAGGTTCAAACGTTCTCGGTTTATTTGAGGTAAAATTAGATGGTATACTTGGGATAATGGATGGAATGTATGTCATGGAGATGTACTTAATTGTAGATAGTTTAATGTGTAAATAATCGTTTTGTCCGTGACATGCTATTAAAAGGTGTTAGGTAGGAAATTTTCTCAGTCTCTTCGGAATTACGCTATGTCAAGAAAAAAAAACACTTAAAAAGTTGATTTACAAAAAGCCAGAACACTAGTACAAGTTGTGGTAGTTGGTGTCCACAAATGCAAGCAGTGTCAGAAGTCTGGTAAATATGGAATGTTAAAGATGTACCAGGTCATTTCCTAACAGTATAATTTCACTCTTTCACCATTTTCAGGCATCCGTACATGTATAAACACCAATTAATTTTACCGATTGAGTTTTTTCCGAAAAATAATTTCAAAGGGTATCTATATTCAAACTGTCTATGTAGTTGTCCGTGACTGCACAATAGCAAAAGTTAAACTATAGTTTAAACTTACCACAGCGTATGATGCTCTTTGATAAACTTTATGACTTCGACTTCTCTTCAAATAATATCCTTCATGTTCTTCAGACAAATCATCATCTTTCCAGTTATTTACCTTATACTCAAGAAGCATATGGTTGAAATAAAATACCCAAATTACTAATCCGTATTATGCAAAATATTGTTTTTCGAAAGATAAATGAACTTTTCATGTTAGGCTATTAACTAATATAATGTTGTTTGATATTTCAGAACTATTACAATCTTATGGGTAGTACTTTAATATGCAATAAGATGGTCGAATTTATGAACTGCTTTTTAAATCAAGTGGTTTTACAACGCGAGTTTTCCGAATACATCTGAAATAAACATTTCTTTCACTTATGGTATGGATCAAAATTCTACTTACAAATTGAGGGATGAGCTTTGAAATCCACTGCACATTTTGGATATATAGCTGTTAAAAATGACAGTCGTTGGTGAGGGAACTGCAGGCTAAATTCACATATCGTATTACTTAAATTTTTGACATACTTCGTGTGTAATGGCAATTCTCATTCACCACGTTCTCGAGTATAAGCCATACTAAATGTCTGGGCTAATAATACCACCTGGTCACTCAAACTGAAGCACATTGAGCGGGGTTCGAACCTGGGACTTGGTGGCTGAATGTCGAACACCTTAACCATTAAGCCCCAGCCTACTAATAGATGAACGATAGGCCTTACATGTTAAAAACTCCAGTGTTTAAGATTATCACAACAAATAATAAGATAGTATGCCTAGGTTGTAAGTAATGTTGAAACATAAAAGCTCAGTGGTTTTTATTGCTTTTGCGCCATATATTTCGAACAATCTGGTCACACGTATACTTGTGAAGACATTTTATATGAAAATTAATAAAGGTTAGTTTTCATTATAAAACACCTTGACAAGTATATGTATGACCAGATTGTTCGAAATGTATGGTGCAAATACATCACATTTTCCAAATCAACTGTCTTTTCATTGCTCTATAAAATTTTATAAAAGGGTTGATTGCATTAGTTTTTTATTGGATTTTTTTAGTTTAAGGAATGCATTTATCGAGTTTTGAGCCCAGTTTTGTATGGGGATTCACTTGTATTCAGTCATTTGGAGGTTATATACGCTTGATCAAATTTACTTTAGTTTATGCATATTACCACCCTCTGTTAGTAAATCTTCGTTATTACTGTTGATGACATTGTAATTCAGATCAGATAAATTTCACATATTTTAAAAATGTCCCAACAAGTTAGCTTCAGTAGTTTGAAAGACTACTAAGACGAATGTATAAAACTTCACATAAACAACAAATAATAGAGAACTATCATCTCGTAATGGTTCGTGTCCTATTAGCTGTTTTAATTGTTATTACAAAGAAATTTTAGTATTTCCTTGGTGATTTTATAACTGGCATCTGAATTCGCTTTGTGTCTTGTAATTTAGTCTTACCACTTATTGTTCACCAAATTCCTTGCTTTTTTTCTATCTATAGCATCCGGACGGTGGTTTTGGTGGCGGGCCTTATCAGTTTGCACACCTTGCGACTTCATATGGTGCAGTTAATTGTTTGGCTTCTTTATGTCGCCGAGATGCCCTAGATATTATTAATCGGGATGCACTGGCTGACTGGATGCGGAAACTTCATCAGCCAGACGGTTCATTTCTAATGCATTTGGGAGGTGAAGCTGATGTTCGAGGTGCCTACTGTGCCACAGCAGTTGCAAAACTTACTGGGTTGCTTAAAAAATATCCTGATTTGTTTGAATCTACTGCAGAGTGGGTGGCTAGTTGTCAGGTGCGGTATTTTTACGTGTTCATGGGATTAATTATTTCCAATATATGATTTAATACCTCTTTTCTGCATGAAAAGAGTTTATATATCTGGGAGTAATATATAATAGGAAACTATTGTCCATAAATAACCAATTGTTTATGCTAGGAATTTTGCCGGTTTCTTTATTCAATCAAATAAGGTCTTTTCTAAATCCAAACAGTCAGCTGACAAACCACCTGTTCATTTTTATCACCGACTCAACTCAGCAACCTAGTACAAGTCTGTTTCAACATCAAACTTTAGATTACATTAATTTTGATGTTGTAGATAGTAACTTGCTACTCAAACCAAAGTAGGAACAATGGATTTAAAGCTAGGGTCTAATAACTTTAAGATTTTGAGTTTGACTTTTTTAATAATATCAATAATATTTTGTGTTTCGGGAGAGTTAAACGCTTGCTCAAAGTAGTGTTATTCTTCGTTTGATTCACAATACAATTATATTAATTTTAATTGAATAATATATAATGAAAAAGGGAAAAACTGTGTCTCTTATGTGATCTACTCGAAAGTTCGCCACGCTTATGGAGAAATGTAAATTGCTTCCAAGCAGGATTCTATTCCTGTACTCACCTTGGGTCGTGAGCAGATTGAAGTACTTGAGGAGTTCATGTATCTAGGTGGCTGCATAAGTGCTGGTGGTGGCGTGAGTGATGAGATTGATGCACGTATAATGAAAGTCAGAGCGGCTTATGCCAATCTGGGCCATCTTTGGCGCCTTCGTGATGTTAGTCTGGCTGTAAAAGGTCGGATCTACAACGCGTCGGTGAGAGCAGTTTTGCTCTATGTTTGTGAAACCTGGCCTCTCCGAGTTGAGGATTTTAGACGTCTCTCTGTGTTCGATCATCGTTGTCTCCGAAGGATTGCTGACATTCAGTGGCAACACCATGTTAGTAATGCAGAGGTTCTGCATCGTGTGTTCGGACACAGAGACGACAACCCGATTGGTGTCACCACCTTGAAACACCGACTTTGGTGGCTTGGACATATTCTACGAATGTCGTCCCAGAAAATTCCACGTCGTGCATTATTTGCCGACTCTGGGACTGGTCGGAAAAAGCGGAGAGGAGGTCAGTGTATGATATGGTGTCGTGGTATGAAAGTAAGCTGCGAAAGACTGGCTTATGCTGGTCCTTCACAACTCTCTGGTTGGGGTCCGAGAGATGGTGCTACACGGTGGCTAGAGACGTAATCAAATATGGCTCAGAATATAAGCCAATAGCGATCCTGCTGTAACTTTCTTTTGCTTTCTGTATAAAGAGCGGTTATAACCTCATTGACTGAGAGAGTTCTTCTGGTTGTACATTTCGGTTTCCCTCACTATTACTTTTTTTCTTTTTTTAATATGCATATATATATATATATATATATATATATAAACATACATATATATATATATATATATATATAAACATACATATATATAATTTATTACAGACGTATGAAGGTGGTTTCGGTGGTCAACCTGGATTAGAGGCTCATGGTGGTTATGCTTTCTGTGCAGTAGCAACACTGTGTCTTTTAGAAAGGTCAGAGTTAATTAATTTGCCTAGACTATTGTGTTGGGTCAGCCATCGTCAAATGGCAACAGAAGGTGGTTTTCAGGTAAGGAATTTTTTGCATTCTGTATTTTTACGCACAAAAAATGAATAAGTAATTACTATGAATAATCAAGTCCATTATCATGTAATACCAGTTCAGACAGTGACTTCTGCAACTTAGCTTGAAATTGTAACCGAGTGGCTAACAGTAGATTGTCCAGAAAAATGAACCCTCAGATGGTCTTTTTATATCGTATGAGAATCTTCGCTACTAAATATTAGTAAATAAAATGTATATAGTTAGCAGAGATGGATAGTGGCTAGCAGGGGAATCCAGGACGCGCGTTTCGTCCTATTTGGGACTCGTCAGTTGGATGTACCTGCATCTCAGAGTTGATGTTCACTCTGGGACTCGAACCCAGTACCCTCGCTTCAAACGCCATCGCGTTATCCACTCGGCCACTGAGTCCTGATAGCCACTTGCTTGTGCGATGGGGTGAAGTTTAAATTCAACTTAGTATTGTTTGTTCGAATCGCACAAGCAAGTGGCTATCAGGACTCAGTGGCCGAGTGGATAACGCGATGGCGTTTGAAGCGAGGGTACTGGGTTCGAGTCCCAGAGTGAACATCAACTCTGAGATGCAGGTACATCCAGCTGATGAGTCCCAAATAGGACGAAACGCGCGTCCTGGATTCCACTGCTAGCCACTATCCATCTCTGCTAACCATGCTTGTGAATTAAGGTATATCGAGGCAATACGCACAGTATGCACATATGCCAATTAGAGACTGACCAGTTGCAGTCCTAACAAATCGATGGGAAGATTCAAACAAACAATACTAAGTTGAATTTAAAGTGTATATAGTTCAATTTAAGTGTCTCTGATTTCAAATAATTACAAATATAAATGAATTTAAGCTTTTTATCAAAAGTTAAACCGCATAAGAAGAAACTGAAAAAAAGAATACTTAAGTGAACTATTTTCAAAAATCAATTACATAAGCAAACATGTAATTACTCTATACTTAAGTGCATTTCGTTATCATTTTAATTGGTTTCCTTATGCTTATAAATGGAATTTATTATATTGGTGATTTTATAAGACCTTAGCAATACATTCTCATCATAAAACTCCATAAATTTTAGTTATCTGATAATTTTATCATGAAATTAAAGTCCTCAACTGAAGTGGTTATTTCTTGTTTCAATTAAAAATTTTAATACAAGTAACTGCTCAGTAGGACAACACGCACATCTTCAACTTCACTTCTAGTTACCATTTGATAACTTCTGTGTTATGTAAATATTTTTGTTGTAATCTGTTTGTATCGAAACGATCTTATAAGGAATTAATGTAGCAGAGTTATTAAAGATTCGTTTCATATGTTCAAAATGATATTTATAATTATTTAACAGGGTAAAAAGCCTTAACAAGAAAATGTTCCTTTGAATTGAAACAGGAATGGTTGTCGAAATTGCCAACTTTTACCATAAAATGTTTTTGACCCTGTAATCTACATATAAGTAAATCCCTTGTTATTAGACTTCGTTTAGTATTTTCTATGTGTAACTTGTAAATTAAAGTGGTGTTAAGGGTTATATCATGTTTTTCCTATTATGCTAACCTATATGTAATCAGTACTTGTTACACCGGTTGTATATATGGTTTTTAAATTATATTCAGTTAATTCATCATACTCATAACATTTAGATTGACTAAATCCTGCTGTCTTTCGACTTATGGTTGACTTTTTAAAATATTCACAGATTAAGCTGCAACATAAAATATTTTTGTTCTGTTAATAAGTTGTTGATCTTCATTCCAAGGGTAGAACAAATAAGTTGGTGGATAGTTGCTACTCTTTTTGGCAAGGTGCTATTTTCCCAATTGTCGAGGAACTTTTATGGCTGTCTGGTGACCCTGCACTTAATGACATTGATACGTTGTTTAACCCTTCTGCCTTGCAAGTAAGTTTCGTTAATTTATGTTATATTTGGAATATGGCATGTAACATTTTGGTAGGTTTTTAGCTTCGGAATCTGCTTGGTCAAACTAGAACATCATACACAACAGTGAGGTGTCCCTAAAAGATGTACAAATATCCAATGAATTGTTGGTTAAATTATCCGACCTTCAAGCATTAGCTAACTTTTTGAACTTCGTTCTGCGTGCTTCGAGTAAACAATCCAGTAGTGTTAATATGTTTTACACACATAAGCATGATTAGAGGGCGTGTACGCGAATCTGTATTCATTTACTGAGTTACACATTATAGGTACAAACGTAAATAATATTGCTCCTAGCCCAAGTGTTTATCATCCCAAGTTACCACAAATCAACACAATGAGTAGTTAGAAAGAGAGTTAAAAGAACGAATATCATTCCATTGGCAAGAGTGAATAGTTAAAAACAGAGAAACAAATCAATATAGAAGTATGGAATAATACACTGCTGAGGCATTGGCAATCCATGAATTCAAGCCTAAACTTTGCGTGCAGAAATAATACAATATTTGAAAGTTAGTTTCTGAATAGTGATTACACTTATTTCGGGGGTCCCCTAGTAAGAAATCCGTATCTCTTCATACAATTCAGACCAGCAGTCATTGACTTCGTGGACTGATGTCATACGTTGGTTATACCCCCTTAATCTTCTTACAACCTACTAGCCATTTCAACATACATCATGGCGATAACCTGTGACTCTGGTCATACGTAACACATCCCACCTACTTTTGTGCATAAACGTTCACAACTCCATTCGGTTTACTACCTTTACCTAATGATTTAGGCTTAGCATCAACATGACCCACTTGTTAGTTCTACTGTATGCAAGAGATGTTCCAAAGCTATCTACAATTAGACTGCGATTTACATATATTTACTTTCTTAAGCCATGTTTTACACTCGTAAAATAGCGTAAGATGAACTACCACGCACTATGTTATCCCTTTGGTTGGTATATGTACGTTAATCTACTTCATGGATAGTGATGTGGATTTCCAATGGTCAGGTTAGCCTTTGAATTTCTCATTAAGAGCGTCTAAACTATCTAGGCTAATTAAACCATCAAGATCTAGGTATTGACTGATGCATCCATCTGCCTCATACTTAATTGTCAGTTTGCTTATAAACAGTGGTTCAGTGAGGTCGATTTAATGGTAGTAGTACATTATAGCAACTCTCCTACAATCAATTTCGATTATGGTTAACTTTCGTTAAGACCTTTTATTAACTTAATTAACAGACAATGTTGTTTTAACAACAACAATATGTCTATTTCTTTGTTCTATTATGATCACTATCTTGTCTGTATAGACGTGTACGCTTGATCAAATGACAGCCTACGCGCACATCTCTCTAGCTTAAATGTTAATATCTTGAATGACGTTCGATGAATCATTCTCTTCCCCATGTATATATGTACTCGAATCCTATTAATAACCTTTGTCTTGCTGTGTCCTTATTCGATTTGACCATAAATTCGCCTCTATATTTGCTTGCACACACATATTCACCTCTCTGTTTCAAACTCGCTGTGTGCTTGTAGCTTCGTGATCTGTGCTATCCGCTAATAAACTGTAGTCACCGCTTCTTATTGCCTTCTGATTTCAAATACCGTTGGGATTTATATAATAACAGTTATTAAGGCGATTGATTAACGAAGCTGAGCCACTACAACTTGGGTTTCAGGAGTAGGAAAAATGACTTTGGATAGTGTGATCTGATTTTCAAGGCACGGGATTCAGACAATAAGAGCTCCAACATGCAGTTGCTAGTGGTTGTTGAATATTAATTAGAAAGGGTTGATAATTAAAGTATAAAACGGAAACGAAGGAGTTAAGGGTAAACAGAACTGGCACTTCTCGACTGCTCACATCTGGAAACTGAACTATTATTAATGGTTTCATCCACCTAAAAGGATATTAAGAAAAACATAAACAATGGCCTTCTCGCAAATTATTGTTTTTGGTTGTGTAGTATTAGCTTCATGGCTTCTAAACCTTACCACTGGTACTAAAACGCATTTTTCTGACTGATATTTTATAACCTCTCCCTTCCTCTGCAAGAAAGCAGCCACACTGAAAGTGCCCGTTATGCGTAAAAGACATTGCACTGCTGTTATGGTACATTAAACTTGACAAAATAGCTTCACTATAACTCGGAATTCTCTGCTCTCGGTAAAGTCGCTTTTAACTTGCCTAGCATGATATGAATCGAAGCAAGAAGTGTTTCAGGAATTATAACTCGATTTAGTTGTTACGCTAAGTAGGGATGGCTATTAAGTTAGGAAGTAACTATGGTTTGCTGATATGACATAAACATAGCGATAACTGTATTTTTGTTTCTAGGTTCAGCATTATGCCATAGTGTTCGTGAATCTGTGGCATAACCTTGTGTTAAAAATGTATTTATTGTTTCATATCTGTTTAGTTAACATAATTCATCCTGTCTGTTTTTATTCATGAAGATTTATTTAGCAGCTTACACTGTCACTATGACGAACTAATCGATGAGTAAAACTGTTACGTCTGACCGATTGTGAACGCTATATTTGCTTCCGTAAGCTAGTTCCGTATCCCCGAGCTAGAACTACACATCGACTTGAAGACCAGAGAAAAGGCACAAAGTACGGGAGAAGCACTTTACTACAGGGTTCATTTATGTACAGAAAATACAGGGATTTTTTAGTAATTAAGAGACCTTGAGTTTCCAGAGCACCAGTGTGTTAAACAGCCAATCAGGATCTCTTTATTTTAGTAGCGTAGCCTCTAATTAATCGCTGATTGGTTGGGGCTCTTTATGAGCCTCTGGAGGCTCTGATAGAGTTTACTGTAAGCCGACTTAACAAAAACATTCCCTTTTCGTCTGAATCTTTATACTTAGAAATTTTTTGACAAATGATAATTATCTTGCCCGTGTGATAATCTTTTTGACGTTTTTTTTCATCTGGACTATAAACCCATTGATATAGCAGATAAGTGTGATAGTAGACTATTTCCTAGATTGCTGTATGATCTCGAACCACTATGCCTATTCTTGAATTTCCCAGTCAGTCAGCTAGGACCAGGCACACATATGCATCGTTCCAAGTTGCCATACCTCATTAGCACAACAACAAATTCATAGTAGTTAATTTAGTGGCGGTAATATATAAAAGAAAGGTTGTATATAAGGATATAGTACAGGAAGAAAGACAGATATGAAGCATTTTTAATCGCAAGATTTAGGGGGAGATAAAGGGTGTATACACCTGCGCCATTGTGATCGATTCTGAACCATGTCACCTAGAGTCTCCAATCACTGGTTACGATAGTCACGCTAATCTCAACCAAGTAGTCCGCATCTACCAATATGGCTCAGACTAGAAGTTAGTGACTTCAAGCACTGATGCCACGTTTTGGCCTGGCTGCCCGTAACTTTTCCCAATGACCAAATAAATCTTTTCAGTAGCGTAACGAAGAAAAACAAGATATGTCAGTACTATTACAGACATTACAAGTTTATCCACTGAAATATTCCCTTCTGTCTGGGCTACCGGATCAATCCTTTTGAAATTAGTTTTCATCAGTTTAGAATATTCATCGTATATACATTACTGAATATTTTAAAGTCAGTTTCTGATGTCACATTGAAAAAAGCCATCCTTATAATGAAAGAAATTAATAATTTTTACGACATATCCCATTAATTAATAAATTTGTATTAGATTTATTCAAATTAAATAGATTAACAAATTTTCACTTTCGTCCCAACCATAATTTGACATAACACGTGCGTATCAAGACCATGATATACTTAATCGCAACTAAGTATTTATTTATACTCGTTGATTAATTGTTACAGTGCTCATCATCGGAATCCTAAATGTCGATTATTGTCTTAGAGCTAACTGCTTCTCGTGTTACTAGAAACTACCTGACAAGGGGGTTGAATCTCTGTAAACCACTTGGTTAATTAATCATTTACTCACTATCTGATAATATTAATTTATTTAATAAAAGTTGTGATAATTTTTAGAACTAAGAAACTATAAAAATTTATCAATTCATAATTTTATTCTTTACTAGGAATATATACTGCTCTGTTGCCAAAAGGTTTCTTACACTCGTCCAGGTCTGAGTGTTCATGCAGATGATTCTTCTGGTGAAAAATTGTCGTCTTCAAATAAAAATTTCGCGTCTGAATACGATGTATCTACTTGTGATGGTGGATTAATTGATAAACCTGGAAAAAACCCTGATGCATATCACACGTGTTACTCATTAAGCGGATTGAGCGTAGCACAACATTCTCCTCGTTGCCGTGTTGAATCATACCAAAAACATGGTCTTCCTCATCCATCACCTGCTGTGGATGTATTAGGTGAAGAATTAGGTAATGAACTGGTCGACTTAGATCCTACTCATAATATCGTGCATGATGGTTTAGCATTCACTGTCACGTACTTTTCTGAGCTGGATAATGGTCGTTCACCAAAAGATGCAGAGGAACTAGCGTTGGCGGCAGCGGAAAAGTACTCTGTACCCGCATTATCAGTATTCCAAAAACAGAAAAGTCTTACGGAGATCCATACTTATGATATCAGTGATAATGAAATCAATGTTCCCCAGCATTCTCAATCAATGAACACTTGTACAACGCCGTAAATATTTTATAAGACTGCGTGGAGTGTGTCGGCGAGAATGATTGGTTGTTTGCTTAGTGAGACTTGTAGATACTCTGACAGATGTTAGATGAGTTATATATTCTTCTACCTTTATTATCATTTTTATTATTCTTATTATCGATTGTCACTGAATTGTGTCGGTTTTTGGTGTGTAAATATATCTATGTTCTGGTCAAGCTAATCACGTGTTCTTGATCTGGGCTGTGCTGAAGTCCTGTAGAATAGACACTGGGAGGGAATCTAGTGTAGGTATTCATCTAAGGCAAATTAACGTCCCATTCGTAAAGACGAAAAAATCAGAGCGTTATAACAGATTTTCGTTTTTATTTTTGCAGAAAAAAACTACAGTTTGATTGTTATCACTTTTTGTTGATGTAACATTTCCCGCAAGTTTATGCTTTGTTTACATTTGGGGAAGCTGTGGAGACTGGGTTATACTTTGCTGGGAGACCGTATATTAGCGTTGCACTGACAACTAATATGGATCCGACAAATAAATACCTGAATGAAAATGAATTTATGAATATTAGTTTTGTTTACGAGAATCAATATTGTATGTCTATAATGTAGATCAAACAATAAAGTGAAATATATGACTGTCACAATATGATTTTGGCATTCTGTTAATAATGTGTTCTCTTTACAACATTAAACAAATCAGAAGTTCAACCTATCAAATTTTAAATACATAATACATTGAATTCTTTTAATTATACAAGTGTTCTGTAAGACAGTGAGTGGGTAATGTCTGGAAAACAACACTTATCAAATTAAAGATACATTCTAGATACCTATGACATTCTTAGTAAATGGATGTATTTTAAACAAACTTTCGTATGTGTACAACTGACTAAGGATACTTCGTTGTTTGTCGTTTCATGATCAGACGGGTTAGCTAAATCTATTTTATAAAAAAGATTAACAACTTTATTGATTGACCACAAGAAGAACTACAAATAGAAATGTACTTAGCCTACAAATTGTATTTAAGGTGCTCCCACACTACGAAATGTTTACTCAACTACGTACTAAAGGTTGGGGAAAACAATATTGTGCTAACTCTTACATGTTTAGAGTAAAGTCATCAAATAGGAAATAAGATATGAGAGATGACAGAATCATTGATAGACCCATAGAGAAACCCTTCAAAATGTTATCCGCATATCTCATGACAAAGGCTATCGCTAGCCCTCCAAACGCCTGAAGAATAACTACAATCCAAACGATAGGTGTGTAGCCGTAAAAAAACCCCAGAGTTTTGACTTTCGATGCATCATTAATGAAGACTCCAAACAGACCGATTGGCACACCGAGGAGACCTAAAATATAGAGAGAAGATCATTAGTGAATATAAGTATCAATAATGATGCATTGTCAAAGCTCTATTCAGTAATGAGTAATAGGTCAACAGTTAGTGCGCAGGTTTAGCATCTTAATGACCTTAGTAACTATATAAGTCTAGATTAGCGGCGCAAATCATGGGTAGTGATTGTCACCCGAGTTATGGTGGCTGGACGTTGTAGTCGCGTCGTTATAAGACGTAGGACCTACAACCAATAGTGGTGCACAGTCACAAGGGTGATCAATTGGATCAACGTACAAATACATCCCTGATCATTTTAATTGAATGGTACAATTCGAAATATGGTGAGATTATTTATTAGTTCAGCAAGCCAAACAGCATTTATACCTTAACTACATACAAGTTTGTGTATTACGAAACGGGCCACACGTCAAAAGTAGTAGGAAAATATAGTAAAATTGAACCATGAACATTGCTTGGTCTTACTACATGTTTTTTTGTTGAGGAAACTGACGACAATTAAACATATTTAACATGCAATTGTTAACTTTCATTCACAGTCAACAGCTAAAACTTACCGAAGGTCGAATACAGAGACAAGAAAGATTATTACGAGAGTTTATCCAAAGTATGTGCAACGCATGCATTATCCAAACGTAAAATAATTTTTTTCCTATAATTGTATCATCAAGATAGAAATTCTCACAAATTTTGAGAAAACTAATAAGGGATATTTGGACGCTGAAGATGCTAAAAAGAGTTTTAAGGAGACATAGCGACTCTTCTACAATCAATTTCGATTATGGTTAACTTTCGTTAAGACCTTTTATTAACTTAATTAACAGACAATGTTGTTTTAACAACAACAATATGTCTATTTCTTTGTTCTATTATGATCACTATCTTGTCTGTATAGACGTGTACGCTTGATCAAATGACAGCCTACGCGCACATCTCTCTAGCTTAAATGTTAATATCTTGAATGACGTTCGATGAATCATTCTCTTCCCCATGTATATATGTACTCGAATCCTATTAATAACCTTTGTCTTGCTGTGTCCTTATTTGATGTGACTATAAATTCGTAAGTTATAAGGAACCAGGTTAGCAGCCAATGCTTTATTTTTAAAAAGATTCGTGTTAACCAGTGTTTTCTGTCTTACCTAGCTGTAGATTTCGCATCCAGATCGAAGTTGACGTTCCTTTAAATATTTTCTCAAGGTAAACACCAGCAAAGCCGCTAGTAACAGAAGCCAATAGAATTGCTAATAACCCATACAAATTTGAATGGAATTCACTGCTCGACGTTGACTGACCTAATGAAGGTAACTAAGAGTTATAGCAAGGAAAGAATAATTCACAATAAAGAATGTTAACATGTTTCAAATGGTTAATTCTGACTATAATGCTAAGATTATGTATGTAATATGCTTAATGGTTCAAACAGTCGGTTTCCAACACCTAGGTCATTAGACTTGGGAAGAGATGTATTGTCACTAACCGTCGCACATAATTATGTGCTTGGCAAATGGATCAAGTCATTGTTTACAAATTTACTACCATATGAGGACGTTACATCTTTGCGACTGTTTCAGAATTAGGAAAAATATTTTTATCATACCACAAATGCCTCATAAAACAAGTAGTAACTTGATCAGAATGGTTTGATTTCAGTATCAAAAGTTAGTTACTAAATAAGATTACTTTTAATGAGGCTACAAATGAGACTGTTAGTATTCTATGTATAGGATAATCTGGTTATAAAAGACAAAAAATTGGAGATGACCGTGTATGTTTTGGTTTAAAATTCAGATGAACAAGTATAAAGACTTCTTGATATAATGTTTATGAAACGTGTAATCATATCAACAATGATTGAATTCATGATACAATTCTTGCATTTGAGCTTTGTTGTGGATTAAATGTTTTTTTCGCAAAAACAATAGTTATTGCACTTTTCCAGTTGACTAACATGAGTACAACCGTAAAAATGTTGGCTTTACACCTAAGACTAGCAAAGGTCATTAACTAACAAATAAAAATACCCTACTACACACCTATTTGGACGACAATATATGATGTAGATTTGAGAAGAAGCGTTTTGAAACCTGATCTTGTGTCCATTTCGCTTACGTATAGTTTAGTGAGGCCTGTCAGTACAGTTAGAATGAACCATTTTAAACTGTTGTGAAGCTAATGTGATTGCTCTAGACTTGTGTTATTTTGGTTAGATTGCATCCAAAATAATGGATTTTATTTGTGAAGTGGATTATAAGTTACAAAGATGCAGTAGTTATTTTTTATACTATTTATCAATATTACCAGAATTCTAAGAAACATCAAAACCATTACAAGGTTTATACAGTACGATGTTTCGTCAATATGAAATGCCTGTAGATCAGTTCTATTCTTGGTTATGACTGTAGGTTGAAGCAGAACACATTTGTATCAGGTTCTGAGTGACCCATAAACACAAGCATCTGCAGTTTCTAAAAGCGGTAAACTTAAAATATTCACTCATTTATAATCAACATAAAACCTGGGATAAATGTGCATCAACCTAAGTTGAAACATGGATTAACTGAGAAGGAAAATAACGAACGCATAGAAATTAAACATTTTGGGAGATAGGGTGTGTTTCATGCTTCAATGTCAGGCCTATTACAACCGTCATAGAACATTTAACAACAAAAGCGAAAAGCTTTCAACAGAATGACGCTAATTATGCTAGTTGGAGAACAAGCAGCACTGTAGAAAATAGCAGAGTGTGCAGTATTTATTGTGGAACATTACCTGTGTTAAGATAATACCTGTACTGAGTAATAAAAGAGAAAACCATTGAGTTGAACGTAGGCGGTGATTTAACAATAATATCATAAACATAGCAGTAGTGAATATTTTACTTTGATAAAGTATCTGATATAAAACAGCATTCAAATGTGAAATGGCAAAATATAGTAAATTATTCTGTACAATATAAAGAGTTGAAGGAATTAAAATTTGAATCATATCATTATACTGAACGATTATTTGATTATAGATTGATGAAATACTACGTTTAATTTGACCTAAAGTAAAAGAAAATGAAGTATGAAATAGTCAAGAGTTTGTTAATAAATTCAAAAAATGCAGTCACAGAATAAACATGTGGATTCATTCCGATGATACTTTTAAAAAAATCAAACTATGGTTTATTGTGTTCAGAAAATTTAGTTCTATAATTTAATTTAGAAATGAACTTTAATTATCGAGTTTTGGGCAAGTAGTTAGCCCATATATGAATTTATGGCCTAGGTACACAAACCTAGAAGTAATTTCCAAGTGGTACTCAATGTTCAAGAATGTCTAAATATAGTTGAGATCATGAGTCAATTGAGGCTAGACCACCATGGTGGTGATTTACGTGAATGTGTGAGCTTAAATTGACGTGAAAGTGGAGCAAGTCAGTGAATAAAGCTACGTGCACAATCAGTAAGCAAAACATTTTGTAGAAACCAGCACAATTAAATATTTAAAGAAATCTTTTCATTAAATAGTATTTACCTTCTTGGTAGAAAATCAAAATTGTCGACAATAGAAGTTTCAGAAATTCACTACATACAACAACTGTTGAAGCTGAGTATAACTCCGAATTCTGAACTGAACGTGAAACACGCATCAATAAAATTAGGCAGGAGGTTTGACATGTCAAGAAAATAAGACTGCCACATTTTATCCAAACTCTTGAAGATATTTCCTAAAATAGCAAACCAACTAAACAGAATTAACATTAGTAAAGAAAAGAGTAAATAATACGTACATAAAAGTTACCGACTACCTATATGGTGTTCTTTGTACCTAAATATCAGATATATCCATTCAAGTCCCTAGATGGATGCACAATATTTATTGAGTTGGTTTTAAAGCTAACTACTAAGAGCACATTGTATCTGATTTGCCAAGGCACAAATAAGTAATTAAACGACATTCTCTTCGATTATTTATATCTATTTTGACTTAGCAAAACAAATAACGGTTGATCGAAATGTGAGATACCCTCATTCCAACGACTTAGTTCGACAGCGATATCATGATACCCCAGGATAAACACAATTATAACACTTTAAAAGTTGATAGGAAGGGAATGCATTACAACTACAGAACAGGCAGGATAAATGAATATCTCAATGAAAATGGTTAGGGGTAAAGTAGGTGGAAAAAGATGCAATCAGCTCAAACTAGATCTCGTAAAGTGAAAATACCCAGGAATAATTGAAAGTCATGACTTGAAAACAACTGCGCACTACAAGTCAGAATCTGCTGAAGGTTTTCAAGTGCAATGGTCGCTCCCTTCTTTTGAGTGCTTTGATATAGACATCATCCGGATTCCCTAATCCATTATGCAACACTTCGTTTAGAATACTATATTTAAATAGCTAGTTCGTGTCTTTTTAAGGATACTGACGCAACTGAGGATGTAAAATTTCACGAAACTAAGTTAATGGCAGACCTCAACTGGGATGAGTAATTGAAACACTTAGGCCTTTTTCCTTTATCTTATGGCACAATGCAAGACGATCTTATATTGGCATTTCGTTTCTTAAGTAGTGATTCAGGTGTTGATTTGCCTTTTTGATACCTTTAGAGACGAACAGCCAAGTGGCAATCGAAAAAGGTTCATAAGCTGCAACCGAATAGACTCAGGATGGGATTCTGGTTTCATTACTGAGTGGAACCCCCTACCTGAACAGCGGTATCGATAAAATCAATGAGCTCTGGAAGAGAGGTTGTATTTAAATGTACTTTGGGGATAGAAAGGTAAATAGGTAAAGCATAGGGGAAGTGCCTGTACCTGTGGTATAGTCTCACAAGGATCTTGGGGTGACAGTGAGCCATGATCTTAAGACCACGGCCTGCTAACGGATGGTTGAACCTAAAGGATTTAGAACCCTATGGGTTTTAAGACGGAAGTTCGCAAAGTCAGAAACTACCGTGCTCACTACAGTATACACGACTTTAGTAAGAACTGAGTTCAGGCAGCAAGCGCTTGTTGGAAAGGTGACTCAGATATCCTAGAAAATGTACAGACGGCAACTACCCGTGCAATTTCAGAACTCCGGGGTTTACCATACAAATAACAGCTTGGAAAGCTAGACCATTTTACCACGTCCTATTGCAGATTAAGAGGTTATATGATTTTGATGTATAGAATACTAAGAAATGATTTTGGACTCAGTATATTCTCTTTTTCTTCCCACTAGATCGGGACATTTCAGAGGACATAGCAGGAGAGTAGAAAAGTCAAGAACAAATGGAATACCACGGGCATACATGTTTATACACATAGACATAAATTCTTGGGACGTTAACCCAAACAGCGGTGTCTACACCATCAATCGACTCATTCAGGAGACTAGACACTTACAGAAGCATATTAGAAAACGAATAAGGTAGACCTTCTGTAATTAATACACAAATCTGGATCCTATGACGTCTTGGCATCTGGGACAAAAAATTTGGAACTGCAATTATACTGTTTGAATACGTAGAGAATAGGGCTGACATAATAAAAGACATTGGTGGATATATGGCCCTTAAAAATACATTCAGAGATCACACGCATCGCAAAACCTTCGCTTTAGTGAAACATTAATTGCGGAAGGCAGCTCAAGATATAACGCGTGAAATATACTCACATAGCATGAAACATGATAGTATTTGAGACAATACTAAAAACGATAGATAAAAGATTACAGTGAATACTTTTAACCGCAAACCAACCATTAAAAGATGACGAGCAAGAAGTGGGTAGAAGTAATAGATAAAAAACAAAACTGACAATCATCCTTGCATTCTGGTTGATTCAGGTTCGCGAAGAATCCTTAGTGAAGGTCCATCGCAAAGATACTATAATTTAAGGACGAACTAATCACATTTAGGATAGCAAGTTTTGGATTTCAACGCGAAATTCATTCATCTAATTAGCTAAACAACGCTTTGGCATTCTAGTTGATGTCAGTTAGTGATTATCACCCCCAAAACGTAATTCCTAATTCAAACCATCAAATGTTAATTATAGTTCTTATTCTTCACACAGGTTAATAACCCTTATTTTGCTCTAATTAGTAAATAGACATTCTCAAAGCCATCTTAGCGTCGCTCAAAAGCCGTCCATGAATTATGGTCTCACCCTCAACAGGCTTATCCAGTAGGCGACTAGTTAACACACTGCACCCCCAACCTAGCTAAAGCACAACATTGGAAATTTCTCCCGAAGATGCGACCTTCATGAGTCATTGAAAAGTACTCATTCAAACAACGTTTTGTGAATGTTTCAATGCAAGTGGGATTTAGTGTGTAAATGCTAATTAACAACAAACACAATGTCATAGCTCAAATGATACTGATGAGTAATATTTATAATTAACGATACACCTGATTTCATAATTAAAGTAATTTTTGAAGGGCATTCGTGAAAAACGCTTGTATTGTGATAGTTTGTGATATAGTTTTGAGGACGGTAATGTGTATATACACAGAACGAACAATAAGACTTTAGAGGGTTGGATCGTTGAATCCCAAGCTTATGAACTAGATTTCCATATTTTCATGTTACTTTAAATTCGCTGCTGTCAGTCTTCAGTGATCAAGATAGTAAGTTGGTGGACTTATGTTGATTCGGACAATTTTTTGTAGTGAAGGCCAAACGTCTCTTTGAAAATGTTTACTGTTAGAGCTGATACTACTTATTTGGGTAAGTCGTTTCCGTCATTATTCGTTTAATGAGAAAAATAGGACTCTACTCTTAGTTTATGAGATCGCGGCTTTCGAACGTTCTTGCCACGGCTCCGAAGATTATTAGCAATATAGGAAGCAGAAAGATGCGACATTTTTACACCCGAATCGTAATTTAAGGTACAGCACGTCAAAATAAGGTCGCCTTGAGTTTTTCGATGCGATTAGATTAGAAATCAAGGCGTTTCAAGCACTCATCGTAAGGGAGTTTTGAAGGACCATTTAATAATCTCGTTTTTTACGTGGAAAACGCTAATAGGAGTAGATATCCTCAATCAGACTTGAACGAGGTGCTTGTATACGGTACTCTATGTGTGGTATTAGGTAGGTTGGATATAAAATTTGAAACATATCTTCAAAGCATTTGAATGCTTGGTGAAGTGACCATAACACAAAAACCTTTAACAGATGCTGCGTTGTAATGCATGGTTGTTTTCAAGTTGACTTACTTTTACAACTCAGTCCTTATGTTCTTGTACTCATGGAGGAAATTTATCATCGACAGTAAACTGGTAATTATACCGTGACTGAAGTGCATGGGCACGCTCTCCTCAGACTTGGCTTCTAAACCCTAATCTCCTGCCCATCTAACTAATTCTAGTATATAAGATTGGAGACCAAAATGATCAGCCTCACTTCTTATCATTGTCCCGATTTTGGTACCACTCGCAAACAATAATGTTGAAGACTTAAGCAATAGTGGTAATTCATTGACGTAGCGAAGAAAAAGTAGGTGACCTAAGATGATACCTAGGAATACGCCATTTTTGACCGGCTTTCATTCAGATATTGTCCCCTTTACTTTCACTCTCTGTCTTCAGCGACATATTATTCTCGTCAGACTAACAGGTCTGTAGTTAGATACGATCTGTCTCTGATGATCTTTGCATGTTGTACTAAATATAGAACCTTTACAATCCTAAGATAGTTAAGTGTAGGGAAAGAGCATGTTAAGGAGTATTGTGAATGGCTTTGAAATAATGTCCGCGAGAGATGACAGAAATCTTAGATGTAATCCATAAGGGACCTATATCGACAGACGATATAGGAACAGCACTTCTAAATGTTTCGCCAACAAACAAGCAAACATAAGATTTAGAACTTTAACAAGAAATAAAGGTTCTGAGTCTTATATTTGCAAGTATATATTTTCAAGTGATTTCGATCAACCGTCATAACATTTTTATACCATTAGGATAAAGGTGTCACAAGTACCCGGAGTTTGACAACACCTTAACCAGCAACATCTTTTATGATCGAAGTATGTCAGCCCAGTCAAATCAGAAGTCAGAAGTGAAGAGGTTCGAAGATATATTTGAAAGGCTATTGATATATCGAAAAGCCTTTGATCCAAGCTAGCCAATGGTTGTACGGGATGCGTTCATTGAGCTGGGCAAAGCGGAAAGTATGGCGAACTAGGATGGATATTGGAAATCAGCAATTTCGACCACCATATCTGGTGGGAATGTCCATTGGAGTGGTACGCCTGTCTATTATGAAGTGGCTAGAATTTATGTTAAGTGAGGTAGTGTGTAAATATGAAGAAAAACCCATCACGTGCGTTCTTCCCTATGACTAATCACTTCTTCCCCTCTATACGTATTGTGCCTCTTATCGATTTCTGAACCTACACACATTTCCTTTTTGGTGTGTTCCCAAATACTATTATTGTTAATTTACTTACAGCTGCATAATTATGGTAAAATGTGTCATGTCGTTGGGGTTGTTAATCACTGGCTCACTTTTGTTTTACCTAACATTTTAATTTTAATGGATGCCATATTGAGTGACTGCATTGCTGCATCCTTGATCTGTCTGCTCAATAACATACGGGGATAAGCCTGTCTCGATCTAGGTTGGAGCTTTGGCACGATAGGCCAACCGATTTAACCTTGAGGCCAGAATGGGTGAGCCCGAATTGAGACCAACGGCTTTGGGTAGAGAGACAAAAACTATTCTATTACCTGATTGGTTGGCAAGTGAGAGAGAGGATGGTTCAATAGAAACACAACTCGCTTTATTCTCGATTCAAATGTAAAAATACATGTACAAATAGATGCCTAACACGACCACAGAACACTAGTTAGAACATAACACTTGTTTCCAAACTGAGCGTGAGGGCAGAAAATTAGAGTGCCAAAGGTTAAGTTTGAATTATAATAACTTTGGAATGGAAAAGTTTGTGGCAGGGAATCACACATCAAACAGGAGCTTATGGTTCACAAAGTTAGCAAGGGACAAATGTAAATGTTAGTATTTTACAAACTTTGAAAAAAAGTGAAAACATGTTCCCAAAAGTAGCTTCCGTTGTATGCCACTGCTTCTTTATTTCTCTGTTAATATGATACATTTTTACTGTCTGAGTCACTGACTTGTATATCTCGTAGCTGGAGGATTCATGATTCCTATATTTTAGAAACATGTATCGTTTTTCAGTAGTTTGCCCATTCGTCGTTTGAGAGGATTGTCACGCAGTCCAAAGAAAGAACCTTCATAGCCAATCCCCTTATCTACTAAGACCTATCGAATTTCGGCGTACAAAAAGATCCATGGCATGACTACCATAAGTGATACAGTTAACCTTGACTTGGGATATTAGTGTAGAAAGTAGTTTTCTACATATGCGATTTTAAGCTAATCTTTAAACTGTTGAACACAGAGTTTTAGAATAGCCATAATCAGAACAAGTTAGGTATTTGTCTTTATAAACTTTATCTGTTTCTTAAATGTATATCAGAACCGCTAGTATACAAAGAACAACCAATAAAGTTTATTGAACTGGGAAAAAGGTTAGTGAAATGACATATCAAACAGTAAGTAGAGGGTAGGAGAAATGAGTCAACAAACCTAACATAGCTCGCGACAAACATGAAAGATTATTATTGATAAGTAAACAAGGCTTAGTTATATAATGTAAAGAGAGTCAGCATGGTGGTAGTTTCGTTTAATAATAATAATATTGATCATGGCTTACATAGAGGTGGCCATCCATAAAATCTGCCTAATGCAGACCCTGCTAGTCACAAAATAGAACAAAACCAGAAATGTAAACTTGGTTTATGGATTGTCTGACGCTACGCTCATGATTGTAGACTGTACTGGACCGTAGTGAACTAAAAGAACAAAAACAATTCATGTAAGTGTTCACTGAAACTAAACTGGTGTTCGAGATCGGAAAGAACCATGTGTTATCTCTCATCTGCTACCTAAATTTTTTTCTATGATGATCCCTAGTGATTCCAATTTTCGCCTTGGAACAAAGTTGAACTAAAGACTTCCACACGTAACTAGGCAGCTCTTGGAATCAGGAACAGAAAATCCACCGGATTAAGTAAAATTGATGGACAGTGAAAGCTAACACTCTGTAAGCTATAAATATATCTACGACGAAAGAGATAATAATTGGGTGAATACGTGGGTTCATTTAAGTGCACTAAAGATGCATATAGTCGACAAACAATTATTCAATTGAGAAAATGTTTTATTCATCATAAAAATTCAATATTAACCAATGATGACAAAAAGTTCTCAAGTGTATTGATAACAAGGGAAAAATAAAAAAAACGGTACAATTTTTTATCCTATTTAAAGTACAACATTGATTGTATTGAATGTTCATAACATATAAATTATAATGTACAAATTAAATGTTAATAATTGAATATAATGAAATGTAATAATGATTGTTTATCTTTATTTGCAAAAGATTAATATTTACAGTATGACTTCTTTTTTTTGCTTTTTTCTTCATGACTAGAACCTATTGTATAGTCAATTTCTTATATTTAATTGATTCTTATATATGGTAAATTCAATGTATTATATATATTAACCGGTATACGAATAGTATAAAACAAATTAGATCTCTTCATAAGAAAGTATAATTAACAAGTACTTAGTAACTAAGTAAATTATTATTACGTTCTTGCTTTATTTTAATGTCATATTGTATCCATCCTTTCCATCCCCCACCTCCAACCCCGGGAACAGAATATATCAAAATGTTACCAACATATTTATAGATAATTAAACATAAATAATTCAGGAAAAGAAGAAAAAAGAGACAGGAAACAAAACAACCATAATAAGTCATAATTTATTGTTAGGAGAAATCTGTGAATGTGAGTTTTTTTTAAAAAAAAAAGTTAATTTATTGTTGTTATCATTATCATTATTTTCTCAATCGCTTTTTTTCTCCAATGAAATCTTTCAAATCTTTCGATTAACTAATTAACTAACTAACAGAATTTAGTGTAGGAATAAACATTGTAGTTGTATTTGGTAATAATCGAATACCTAATCCATTAGATGATTTACAATGATCATTTTTTGATTCTTGAATTACATTTGAATTATTTGATACTGGTAATTGTGTTGTCATAATTGATGTTTGTGGTGTAAATTTACCATTCATCATTGTATTATCTGGACTAGAATTATAATACTGACTAATGGAATTACTATTATTATTATTCGTTGTATTAGGAGCATTTATTGATTGATGAAACAAATCAAAAGGATCTACAGTATACATTTTAGTTAAATAATCTTTAGGATAAGTAAAATTATTGTTTATATTAAATGTTCCCGGGCATGTTTGACGTATTGATAAGTTAGATTTTGAAGTCTCCGAAAGACTTTCTGTGCCATGAATACTATTATTAGTATTATTTAATTGTTGAAAATCAACTTTGTTATCGATAATCTGAGAATAAGAGAATACTTGTTCACTAGAATACAATGATGGTATAACAGGTGCATCTGAATACCAATTTTGTATTTGATTTAAACAATCTTTAAATGTTGGACGTCTTTCAATCTCTTCATTCCAACAACTAGTAATAAACATATAGATGTTAGTTGAACAGTGTTGTGGACATGATAATAATTGTCTAGAACGTATTAAATCTAAAACTTCTGGATCAGAAAATGCAGAATATGGTCTCATACCACCAGACCAAACTTCCCACATCAATACACCAAATGCCCAAATATCTGATTCAATAGTAAATTTACCATAGATAATTGAATCAAGTGGCATCCATCGAATCGGAAGCATAAGACTATGAGGATGTAAACGATAATAATCAGCTGCATAACAATCACGTGCTAAGCCAAGATCAGTAATTTTACAAAATAATTGCTCATTCAAAATGATCACGTTTCTTGCAGCTAAATCACGATGAACGAAACGATGACTAGATAAATAATCCATTCCAGCAGCAACTTGAGATAATACTCTCCAAATTTCTGATTCACTAAGAGGGTTTGGCAAACTAGATGTCACGCCATTAGGATAACTTACATTTGTTAAATTTATCTGATTAATCATAGATCTTCTTGAAGATAATAATTCACATAAATCAAGATATTGTCGAATTTCAAATATCATACACCATGGTGGGTGTTGTACACTAACTCCAAGAAGACTAAGTACATTTGGATGATCTAATTCCGAAATTAAATTAGCTTCTCTACGAAAATTTACTTGTAAACTGGCAGGCGAACCAGCTGATAAGGTTTTTACAATAACTGAGATTGGATGACCATTTTCATAAGCACTATTTGGAAGTAATTCAGCCTTATAAACTGGTCCAAAAACACCTTGTCCAAATTGTTTCCCAAATCTTTTTGTACAAAAAATAATTTAAAATGAAACATACACATAAACTAATATATTTAAATATCAATATATAATAAGAATTTGTTGCTTTACGACATAATAGCACGTTGATGAATATTGAAGTAGGCGTGTGTTATGTAGTTTCTAAAACAAACTTCTAACCACATAACAGTTAATTTGAATTCCGTTTCATCTATTTCAGTTTGAGTAGCCGGGTACAATGTCCGATTATCTCTTACATTTAAACGTGAATATATAAAATTGTATTTGGTGACTGAATTTCACTGTGTTATTCAGTTTTTATATTTTTGCTTTATACCCAATTTACAACCTTAATTGTCTTAATTTCAGTCCTAATGTAAACTATCATTTAGCATGAAAGCCTAGACCACTTACCTTTGATTAACATGATTACATCAAGGAAAGAAATTCAGAAGAGATATGTGATTAAAATAAAACTGCAAGCTATTATATTAATTCTGAACTGATTTTATAATAATACGGAAATGACTAAACTGAACTGCGATTAACTAAGGTTTTTTCTTGAAATAAACGAGTTCAGGACCAAGGTACCTAGGTCATTATGTAAGCCAGCTGTTTTTGCAAATTCGACATTTAGTAGCAATATGTCTCATAGCTAGCCTAGAAGTCATTATCATTAAAACTTCAAACAGAAATTAGTCATCTACAGACATCAAGATATTTGAGAATTTTATTTGCATTTAACAATTTCTCAACAAATTATTAAGGTTTTCCCTTTGAATCTAACCGCTTTCATTCAGACTTAAACCATGTAATAAAGTACATGATAAGTAATTTTAGATTTAGTTATTTGAGTTCAAAATCGTTATAAGACTCACCGCAACTGAGAAATAGGATATTCCACAGCCTTCATAGGCTGATCTTCCAAGTTAATTTTTGAGAATAGTGTGGCGTTTTGTGAAGCGTTAAATGAGTTTATTGATGAAGGAGGGTCATTTAATAAAAATTCATTAGGACTAGCGTTTCTAAGTGTTGTATAAGCCGCTGGGCTTTCAGCATCAGCTTTTGTTTCATAATGTAATCCTGCCTCTGATATTATATCACCATTTAATGGCAAGTGGATAGACTGATTAAATGGCTGTGCATTATATGGTGGGTCGGTCATGTTAAATGGAATTGATGTTGGTGCAATCGCTGTAATGCCTGTTTGTGATTGTGTCGTTAAACATTGCGATCCTGGCGGAGGCGGTGCAGGAGCTCGAGGAGGTGGTAATTGTGGGGTTAAGAAGTTAGAAGCATGGTACTGAAAATACGTCGCAGAACCATTATGTTTAACGGATGCGACTGCAGAAATAGATGTGTCATTAAGTACACCATTTGTGTTGTGAAGATTAGAAGAAACACTGTTATGCCCAACCGTCGCTGGTGCGCTCATAGCATTGGCGTCACTTGTGCTGCAAATCGTATTACTTCCACAATATGTAGTTGTGTAAGCCTCTTGCATACCATTTAGAAAACCGTTTGTACCACCTAGTTTAATACCAGCTCCCATTCCAGGGACTCTTCTTTGCTTGCTGCTATGATTTGAGTCATTAGGAGCCCCAACTCCTTGTCCCCTTACGTGAAACCCATCCAATCTTTCAATTTCAGAACAATTACGATTGCCTCGACAGTTGGAGCGAATACGTGATCTTCCTAGGAAACTTGAACTATCCGTTGTTAAACGCGGTGAATCACTTGTACCATGTCGACAGAGAAAGCATACAGCAAGAAGAACGAGACCCAATAATGCCAATGCTCCAAATGAAACGAAAATGGGTAACAAATCAGGGCCAGTTGATAATGCAGTATTTAAGTCTTGACTAGATGATAAGACACCATTTTCATTCTTTTCTATCAGATGACCAGGTGATGGTGCAGCCGCATGATGTTCTTCCCAGAATTGTCCATCATTGTCTTGCCTGTATTCTGATACTATGAAGGAAAATCAGAAAATTATATGTATAAAAATCTTACATATTTTTAAGCTTAAGGATCGGACAAAATTTATGTGCACAACTGGTTAAAACAGATCACTTTTAATTCATTTCAGACTATTTTTTGAAGAATTATACGTGATTCCCTGTTATTATCCTCCATAATTCAAAGATGTAACATGATGGTTTAATAGTAAACTCTTAAGCTCAGAAGATAATTCACATTATCTAAGTATCAGTTTTTACTTATGAATTGGTGATAATTCCGATCAATAGGTTACTGCATCGATGTGGAGGCTTCAATACAGTTTACTTTGTTGTTTTTTTTTAAAATCGAAAATAAGAATTACGCGAATACTTCAAAAGTAGCTCCTTGTATTTGTGTTACTAGTGTAATATAGATGCAAGTTTAGTCACTGATTGACTATTGGCATCCATTATTACCAGAAATATTTATCAGTCAAGTACGATTTGTGTAGTCTGAGGATCAAGTACATCTTGTAATAAATTCTTCGTAGACAAAAAGATCACTCTATTAGACTGTTATATCTAGAGCTTTGGTTCTTACTATGCCGCGTACTACTAGACTACTTGAACGATCGAGCCCGCAACGTCACAAGAGAGAAGACAGAAGACTAGTAAGTAAGAACTTTATTCCCCAAAACAGTGTCAAAATATGGTACAGAAATCTCATGTATTTGTAGTTTTTGACTGAGAGTAATTCATCATTTCAGACAACCAACAGGCACATAGAGGGTCATTCGTATCCATCCAATGGGGAAGCTACACGTCGACATTCTAGAACATTCCTCTAGCAGTGATTGGATGGAATGTCTTCGGCTCTTTCTGGCCTTCTTGAGGCTTCCTAGAGTTTACCAACGAGCCATCCTTACATAGACGAACCTTGATTCTTACAAAAAGTTAGTTGTACGGATGGAATTCATTTTAATTACAGAATTCAGAATTTTAATAGATGATTATGAGTAATCTTGTTTTTCTGGAAGCCTTTAAGAAAACATAACTAGACAAGTAGTAATTTGTGAGTTCAACCAACCAGATTTACCAAAAGTCATAAACACGTTAATATCTGGGATTCATCAAACATATTACATATATTCATCAATTTCAGTAGCATTCTGAGGAATAATTGTTAACACTTACGTGAAAAGTTGTTAGTTTTACTAGTTAGTCCATAAAAAGCAGTTTTCATCTCTTTGTTATATAAACTGTATTAAGTAAATGCTAGTATTTCTGGTAATTAATTCTTATCATTCAACAGGTATTTTAAGTTCAATAGCTAAATGATATATATATATACATATATATATATATATATATATATATATATATATATATATATATATATATACCAAGTAGTAATGTCGAGGTAGACCGTTCAGGAAGCGTATATACCAATGGAAGTTCAACGATAACAATTCAAAAAATCGATTAGGATCAGATTTGAGTTCTAAGAATAATTTTACTCATGATGAGTAAGTTATTGGCTATTTGAAATTAATAGCTTGATGGATAACACTCTACTATTTAAAATAATAGATACTTGTTTAAAAATCTCAACATCAGCACCCGAGTACATTTAAATGACAAGTGAAACGTGCTTCATGGATCCCGCTCTTAACCATAATACAATAATAATTTCAATTGTTAGAATCCATTGATAATTCACTAATCATGTAAAAATGTGAAAGATTATCAAGATTTATCTAAAGCTGAAATAAGAAGAAACTATAAACGTCATATTTAACTTACTTTGTTCTGATACAACTAAAGGTTCACCTATACGACGACATGTTTGTGGATTATCCATTGAATAAATCGGTAGACGTGAACAATCCATAATCATTTCCGGTACTAAATTTTAAGAAAAATATCATTGAAATAATTCTCATAACTGTTACAAAAATAATACGTTGAATTGTTTGAATTCGAACAAAAATATCCCTAAAAGAAAATGGATTTTCGAAGAAACGTATCGACCTGAATGATGAAATAAAGAAGACGATTTAAACATTCCGCTTATTTACGCATGTTTATACTGTGATCCACAGAAACGATGAAAGTATTAAAAAATATAGTTTTATTTTAAAAATAAAATGCCATTAGTACGTAAAGCTTATATTAGTCCAATTTAGTTTCATGCAGTTTATGCAATCTAGCACAACTGAAAAGGGTTTTATCAGTTAAGCAAACATTAACCTGGAGTAGAATAAAGACAAAGATAAGCCGATGGTCATCGTAATCATGAACTGGTTTCATATGGTTATTAGTGAATAATTTTGAGATCAAATTTTAAAACTTGTAGTGGAAATCTCTGATATTCGATATCAATCGATGCCAGTTAAAGATTTATGTCAAAACTGTAGCTCACTGGGTTTCGATTGAATGGTATCAAGATGTTATTGTCGCTTCCATATCCGAGTTAAATCATATGTAGGGTAATGAAAACATTATGCCATAGATCCTGAAGCTACACAATAACAGCTGTATAATGCGCTCTAATTTTCACCAAGATACAATTAGGTTTACTGAGCTATCGATATCATTTAACAATAACGCAATATCTTTCTAGGATATTTTCTTTTATTTCCCTTAAGATTGACAGTATAGTGCCTTGTTTGTTAAAAGAAGAACGAACTCTTAATATGTTCCAAAATTACGAATATACTATTCACTGAGAATTTCTACTTACGATATACAAATAGTGAATAGATGTATATGACAAGTTATTTAAAACTCAAGTCCAGTTGTCAGGTTACAGCACAGTGACGTAAAAACGTTGTATCCAACTCTAATACATAAATGCCTATAGTTCAATTGTATGTAGGGTAGTAGGTGTGTGTATTGATAAAGTGTTTAGATTTAAAAGAAAACAACTAACCAATTCTTTTTGGATTATAAAAAATAACATTTGACGAAATTTGAAGAGTAATATATTGCAACTAAGAGATTCTTATTAGTACTGATCTCGTGGTCAGTAAACTACAAATTCATTGTAAACCTAATTATCTAAGAAAGTTACATTTATATATAAATATATAATCACTTACAGTCATACAAAATTTTTCTATCCAGATAGTCATATGTTGGTCCACATTCATTTTGCATTACATTTTCGCATTCTTGTCTGCATAAGTGACGTGTCTGATATAAATAACGCATAGAGTTCTCATTTAATGATTGTGTTTCGCCTGAGACATCATTTTCAAAAGAAACAGGTTTTGTTTCTAAACACACTGGAAAGTTATAATAACAAATTGCTTCCATTAAACGTCTTAAACAATCTTCTCGTACACGATGTAGTGATTGAGTTGCAGTAAGCTTAAGAACTATAAGAAATAAGGAATAAAAATAGCAATATGTTAGTTTATAATACGAATAACAAATGACTTTATTGTAAAGAATTTTGATTTCATATTACTTTTTGATAAATTCGATAACCAATTTTTTATCTCACTCTATGTTAGAATTCGTGATGCCGAGTCAGTCCTAACATATACTATTGAAAAGAAAGATGAGAACAGATTACTATTTACGATTTTACTGTCATGATCAATGTGATTGTGAATGTTTATGTTGGTAAGGGTTGTGACTATTAAATTCGTTTCTGCAATTTCATCTCTTTTATAAAAGGAGAAAATGAAATAAACTAAAGAAATTTGACGAGTACTTAAACAGCTCTCCTGAAGATATACAGCAAAACACGAAAAGGGGAAGCCTGTTGTTAAAATGGAACTTCGGGTATTATGTGATTCACATAATTCTAATTCATCTATACAACGAATATTTCGAAAGTTGTTCACTTATAGCAACCATCCTACAATCAATTTCGATTACAGCCAATTTTGGTTAAGCCCTTTTTTATAACTTACTTAACAGACATCGTCATTTGGATAGTAACAATTTGCATATTCTTTGCACTGCTATACCACTAGAGCACATGACACTCTAGCCGAAATATTGACTGCTTAAATATCATTCGATGACTCATACTCCTCCCCATATATGTACGCACGCAAATATTATTATCAGCCTTTGTTTTGCTTTGCTGTGCCCTTATTAAATTTGACTATAAATTGCCTATGTAATTGCTTGCTATTCGCTCGCTTGCTCCTCGTTCGTTTCCTTCGCTTATTCGCCTGTTCACTCGCTCTCTCGCTTGCCGCTCACTCGCTCGTTCATATTCGCTCAGGTGTTGTTAGCTTTCGAACCTGAGTTATTCGACAATAAACTGTAGTTGCTGCTATCCTTCGTCTTCTGATTTTAGGCGCCGTTAAGATTAGAATTATAACGATTATCGAACTAAACGATAAACGAATCGCGGCACTACACACTATCCCCATGAACTTAAATAATACTCAGAATCTTGTGTCCCTGAGTAGTCATAAATTCACATTTTGGGCTTGAAAGTTGGATGGTTAGGCTAATAAACACCACATTCTCGTCCGTTCGACAATGAGAATTGTATCGAAATGAATGTAACATTTTCAATTACATCTTTTCTTGTGAGGATTATTGGGAAAAAACGTTTTTACTACTGTGTATAATATTAGTAGCTAAAATTAGTAAGCATAATTTATGCATCACATTCACTAAATTAAGACAGGAAGAAATAATAATAGAATGAAATATAAACAAACTGTTTGATACTTTGTGACTTCGATTTAATCGTGACTAGTCAGCGCTCATATAATTTATATAAATAAAAGCATGAGCAGTTCATAACCTATTCTGTCTAGTGGTTTCAACTTCTGTTATGAATAAGTAAAATAAATCCTTATACAGATTCTTAGATGAAATAGCAATTTTACTCATTCATTTTTATTTCACACTTGAAAATAATGACATAAGTGCCATGAGATCTTTATTCAGATGTTAATTTTCTGTCTGATGATCAGAGAGGACAACGTGTGCATGGATTTCGGTCAAGTTAAAAATACCCCATCATATCTTAAATCAGCAACATTAATTTACTTATTATGTATAAATGAAATCTTTTTTCACGCACGTAGGTTAAAAAGGTGCAAGTAATAAGAAATTATTATTGTAACATATACGAAGCAAATTTATTTATATAAATTAGATTAGTGTGATAGCATTACTGTTAAAAGTTGATATTTATTAAATAATAACAACTTTGTTGGCGGAGATTTTCCAAGACAAATTTAACAGAATTAAACATAGTCACTCTTCCATCATTTTAAAGAAGGATTAACTTAGTTGATTATATAATTTAATCTGTTTATTTGAACACATAAATATTGGTACAAAGAGGCACCAAATACATATGAGCTACACAAGTCACTTGATTTGTGAGTGGGCTGTGATACTGTCTGAGTGTCCAAATCGAAGCAGCTGTTTTTCTTAAGGGGTCACACCCGGAGCATTAGACCTAAAGGTCCAGTCCATAAGGCAGTGAAGAAACATCAGTAGATGCAGTTTCATGGTGGCTGGTGACCAATAATAGGTTCATACTCCATTTGTTGCCTCAGGATCCTGGAACCCATTGGTTTGGAATTAGCGTTTTCAAACTCCCCTAGGTGGATGTATAAAATCCGTATCGATCAACAGAAAAAAAGCTACATCCTTTGTAGAAATGCATAATTAATAATACCGTACTTATTTACAATATGAAATTTTCATCTTTAATTTAATTAAGTTTCCTTTTTGCTTAAACATTCCATTTAGTTAGATATATTGATGAGCTTATACACAGCGATTGAGTCGTATCTTTATTGGTAAATAACTGTAGAGAGGGAGTTTTGTGGCTATTATTGTAATTTTAATAGTTGAGATCATGAGTCAATTGAAGTTAGACTTTAACACTGTTGGATGTCGGCTCAGTGGTCTCGATGTTAAGCGATCGCGCGCGAGACTAATTGGTCCTGGGTTCGAACCTCGTGAGATTGGATCGTGGATGTGCACTACTGAGGAGTCCCACAATAGGACGAAACGGTCATCCAGTGCTTCCAGGTAACTCATAGAAGTCTACCTTCACCAGACTCATGATCTCAACTATTAAAATTGTAAAGAAATTAAGAGTGATTTAAATGTTTGGATATATATATATATATTTCTAATATCTGCATGATCATCAATAATAAATGAATTCATTGATAAAGAATATGCTAAAACAACTGTGCGATAACACATCTACAACTAATCAGTAATTGATGTGTATCTGATAATTTGATTACTTAACTATGAAAAATTTGAAGAACTGTTATTGAAGATTTTCTTAGTTACAAAGAACTTATTTCTGGACTTATGATTTAGTTAACATGAAACTTTTGGTCAGGTAAACTGTGATTTCTAACTTTAGGTAGTAAATATTATGGTTACTGTTCGATTTTTTAGGAAGCAAATAATTTATAAATATTTAGTGATTGGAAAAATTACCCTATTAATTGGAAGAGTTTATTTGTGAATTCTAATGGATGAATGTGTTGTTTGTTAAAGTCATTGTTTACCAATAACAAGTGACCGTATTATTTAATTTTCAAAATATGTTGATGTCCATAAAGATAAGTGTAAAGATTTTCCTATATAGTGGTTTGTGAGTATATGTTAAAAACAATTTAAGAAAGTTGATCACCTTTGAGAAATGACTTTTGAAATCGGAAATAATTTTTGTTGGAACTACCATCGAATAGTGGAACAATTCTATTCTGTTATTCCTGGTGTCATGGAATGTTATCCCGAAGGAATATATCTGAAATGATGCGAATATGAATATTCGTTAGAATTTCGTCGATTTATTCGAGTAACTGCATCATCTCCATTCTTCACATGCACAAAGAAATAAATGATACCTCATTCAGTGTTCAATTTACTTATGTCATTACTTATTCACATAGGTTATATTTCTTCAGCTATCTGATGCTTAGTTACTACTATTATTGATGTTCCGAATTTTTATTGAAAATAGTTACTAGTTTATCATCAAAAAGGTCGCCATTATCAAATTAAGTTAAAAGTACGCTTTCACCCGTGTTACCCTTCTCTGTGAGCTAAACATATTCTCGATTATTTCCAAATCGTGTTTTATACATTAGCACGCTTGAAGTTACTTCAATGACGTGTTCTGATAATGAAATTTTTTATAGAGATTATAGATATGCCTTAAAGATTTAGGAAGAAAAGACTTGTAACTTTAACCCCTTAATATTTACTACCAGATGGATTGATTTATTTTGGTCATATACCTGTAATCTTTATTAAGGACTGTGGTGATAGTAAGTATTATTTAGTGATTAATTTAGGATAAAAATCCGTCTTTGTTAAAATCATGTTTTCCTACGTCAGCACTACAAAGATGACTTTAAAAGGAATTGAAACAAAAACAGTTTCCATACCTACATATGTATAATGATACATTTTTGATCAACAGGAAAGTTTGGCAAATAATTAGGTCAAACAGGTGCTTGTTTTTCTACTATGTTAAAGACAAACACCATCTGTGTTGTTAATTTACAAGACATATTAATAATGTAACTCATAATACACAGATATGCTGACAGTAAATCATGGTACAAAATTTATATCAAAGTCTAAGGTATCTGTATGGGTGGCTCGTTGGTAAACTCTAGGAAGCCTCAAGAAGGCCAGAAAGAGCCGAAGACATTCCATCCAATCACTGCTAGAGGAATGTTCTAGAATGTCGACGTGTAGCTTCCCCATTGGATGGATACGAATGACCCCCTATGCGCCTGTTGGTTGTCTGAAATGATGAATTACTCTCAGTCAAAAACTATAAATACATGAGATTTCTGTACCATATTTTGACACTGTTTTGGGGAATAAAGTTCTTACTTACTAGTCTTCTGTCTTCTCTCTTGTGACGTTGCGGGCTCGATCGTTCAAGTAGTCTAGTAGTACGCGGCATAGTAAGAACCAAAGCTCTAGATATAACAGTATCCCATCATTGAGGATAGTCTACACCACTAATTAGCTTCAGTTAAAGGACAAATGGACATTCATGATAACACAATGCATGGAATGTATGACCTTTAGGTTTTGAGTGGACTATTCTTCCTTAAGATCACAAAATTGCCATCTATTAGTTTAAAATTCTAACTCCAGTCAATTCACTCTCATGCATGCACTCTCATAGATGACAGAGCTATTGCAAAAGATGAAGGTTTAAAACTGGATTCCTAGACAGCTCATGAAAACCTACAACTGAGAAGTTATGTACTAAGACAAACGGCTGTCCAGAGCTCCTATATTTTGAGTGGTTGTGTAGGTAATGTCAAACAGTGGTGCAATTATCTTAAACTCAAAACTTCCGTGTAAGCCTAATGTCATTGAGAAAGTGATGAGATATGAACTGAAAATAAGCGACATTACTGTATTTACCGGAATTACTTGAAATATGTTGTTAAACAGACATTTTTAGAAAACAAAAAAGTGTAGACAACTACTTACTAATCAACCGGTAATTAAAAAAAGATATCTGACTTCTTTTTATAATAATAAAACAGACTGGTGCTTCAATCACGCTTCCCTTTCCCAACCACTTAAGATGGTTAAATATAGTTCAATCAAATCCTAATTAAAGTTCAATACCGTACGATTGTATTGACTTATTCAATAACTACATGTGCATATATCTATATCTATTTAAATGTTTGTAACAACAGATGTAAGCGAACAATTGTTTTCAGTTAGATCGTCATCAGGCTTTACTGTAATAAACATAAATATTTATACGAAAATTTTAAACCAATCAAGACTATTCGAGTCAATAATCATCATGAAATAGAATACGTCACCGAGCATAATAGGTAAAAGTACAAGTTGATAGTGTGAAGACAGGTGTACTAATAGTAGTAAGAATACTAAATTACGATAACAAAAGTCATATCATTAGTTAAACATTGGAAATAGAAGGTCAAACGTGGGTAAAGACGTAGAATAATCATCACAAAACATTACGATCATTACGTAATAAAAAGTGTGTAAATAATTAGATAGTGAAGAATACAAACGGAAAGAGATGGAAAATTACAAACAAATGCTAACAAAATATAAAAAAAATAAATTAATGTCATTTGTTAAGTTATGTCCGGTCATGGAAGGGATAGGGGGTTACAAATTTCTTCTGTACGCATAAATTGGGGTGAAATGTACGAATTCTTATGGCTTCTGCTATACGAAGGAGACGAGAACGAACACTGTTGGGAAATGATGGAGGTGTACGATAGATCACTCGAAATGATTTCGATTTATCTACATTATGACCACTGTCAAGATGTGCCAAGATAAAATTGCGTATTGTTTTTATCTGGCTTTTCTCAAACCATGCTAGTAGATGTTCACTCATTCACTGGTTAAGTTGCCTAGTAGTACGCTCGATATAGCTATCTCCACAGGAGCAGCTGAACTTATAAATGCACATAGAGGAGGCCAATTCAGGTAACTTATCCTTCGTTTGAGTAGACATCACTGGTCGACTCGAGAAAGTCAATGCAAGATAGGCTGAGTAGAATGTTCTACTAATTACTTTCGTTAACCTATCTTTTAGAGTATCCCTAGCTACATCCCCATTGAATTGTAATTTCATGTATAAAGGTTTCTTTTGAACAGTTGAATTCTCCAACTTCTTCCATGTATCATACATGTACTTCTTAATGAATTTTTGTCTTACTACTAATTTTCAAAAGTAGTTTAGAAACTTTAGATAATTTTAATGAATATGATATTTTAAAAAAAAAAATTATGCACAAAATTCTAATTTTCAATTAAACATAATTTATTAGTTTACATTAAATAAAGTCAATGTTTATTATCATTAAAAAAGTAAAACAAACAAACAAACTGAGTTGTAAATAATACGAATTGAAAAGGAAATGACAAGAAGTAAAGAAAGAAAAAAACTCTATTACCACAACTAAATCATCAGTTTTATCAAATAATGGTGATAAGGCAGTACTTTTATTATCTACACTTTAGATTTTGAATAGATTAGTTTCAACGTGTTAATAAATATGATATGATAATATAGAAGATTTATAACTTGGGTGAATAATTTTGGTGGTCGTAACTAAACCATTTCTCTATGTTGGGTGTGTATTTTACTTATTTATTTATCATTATGATTTATACGAAATTCATAAATGATTGTAAAAGAAGTAAAAAAAAAGCAAATTGTAGAGTTAACTTGAAATGTCTCCTTTTTATATGCATGAAAGAACTGGTCAGAAAATTTACGAAAAAAAAGTACTAGAGATAAGACAGGAAGTTTAGTGATAATGTTTCTTGTTTTATGCTTAAGTAGATGAATTTATATTCTATATCATTGGTTAAGTATAAAGTAGTTTCATTGGATACAATTCTCAGTTAGAGAATAATGATAATCAACTTAAAAAGACTCAGAGTAACAAAAATGTATCCAAAAAATCACAAAAATTTTCAAAATCACTTAAAGCCCTAAAAGGTGTGAAAGGTGGCAAAGTCGTGAAGACAGGGAACAAAAAGTCTGCAGCTTTTCTGGAAGCACTTTTCTTATAAAATTGTTATGTTTTAATGAACAGTAAAATTAGGAGGAAGTCTTAGCTTGTCGAAATCATAAATTTTGGATGTTACTGTTCGTAAATCCTGTTCGATTAAAATCAATACTCACAGGAATTATATACTGAGTAATTTTCATTCATGATTAACAACGAATATTTAAGAAAAATAGTAGATAACAAAACAAGGCAAGATAAGAATTTATCAAGCCAATATCACTCTCTATACATAGATTATTGAGAAGGATTATAAATAAGAAGAAAAGTAATTCATGTCATCGTAAAATGTCTAAATTTCTGCTTCCGACAGCAGCAACTTTGAATAGTTGAAGGTATTTATGTTCATTTACTGATTCCAGCTCAAATGTTTATCCTGTTACAGTCGTGGATTGTTTAAAGATAAGAGTTCTTTACAACAGATTCAAACCTAATCCAGGACCATCAAGATGTGTAATAAACATTATATCTTCATTGTTAAATTGTTTATGGGAACGTGAAGTCCCAAAATAGGTCAAAACAAATGACTATACGTGCTTAGTTGTCAATAATTCTACAACTTATAACAGTTTATGATGAAAATTGTCTGAATACTCATAAACTAATTCTCTTAGCGTATATATATATATATATGTTTAATTTTGTACTCACCATTTTGGGAATTCTTTTATCACGGTCGTACTTAAGTTAAAACGAAGTACTTACGACAGAAATAAGTAATTAAGTAGTTGTGAGTAGTATATTCTAACTTCTAAAGGTCTATTATCTAACCCATATACAAACGAAAATGCTGAGAAGTGAATATCGCAATGATATATATTGTTCTTTTCTAATGAAAATGTTGATAGTTATATATAATATACATTTTTTCCATAAGATCTGGGTGGAAATGGGGAAGGGTGCGAGATAGTGAATGTCAACTTAATTTAATTCATGTAGGTTATGGTCACATTTGAATATCTGAGGTACTTTCAAACAGATAAACCCATTTACTTTCCCTTTCTACATCATCTACAGTGAGAAATTTATACAGTATATTTATATAGTATATTTCGTATGATTGTAGCTCTCAGTAAATAATTATATTTTCAGATTACAGGAAATAAAGTAGTTGCCTAAATAAATACTGAGGCTTAAGATTTAAACAAGATTTAATTAGGTTTATTGGAAGGAGAATCTTCCAAGCATTTATTTTGAACTGTGTATTATTATTACCATTGATTTTAGACATTTTCTACTGTCAGAAGAGAATTTACATTATCAAGACCAAGATATCAAATCCTCTTCCATTTACTAATTGTCATATAGTGTGAATTTATTGTATTACAACATTGAAAATGAAAATACTAAGTATGTATATTTTAAGCTGTCATATTTTCAGTAGTCGGTCCATCAACCACATAATTTAATGGAAACTTTAGATAGAAAGATCGATTACAGATTGAAGTGAACAGTTGGTGGCAAAGATGGATATTGGCTAGCAGTGGAATCCAGGACGCGCGTTTCGTCCTATTTGGGACTCGTCGAATGGTGTACCTGCATCCTAGAGTTGATATTCGCACCAGTGCTAGCCACTATGCATTTTTGCTAACAATGCTTGTGAATTAAGACTATATCGAGGCAATACGCACAGTATGCAGATATGCCAGTTGGAGACTGACCAGTTGCAGTCCTAAACATGAATGGGAGGATTCAAGCAAGCAATACTAAGTTGACGGTTTGTTAGTCTTCCTTAATTTCACTACTTCAAGACTTTCATAAAGTTAATAAGCACATTAATAAGTTTTAACTGAAGAAGTAATAATGCTAAGTAAATTTGTTTTTTATAATAAAACACACGATAGGTAGTTTGAGTTACGCGAAACATAAATTATCATTTTTGACTATGGAACTGATAGTAATGTTAAATCATAATGAGAACATAAATTTGATTTTACAAACTTACTATAATTATTAAAAGCTACGTAAACATGCGTAAATTAAGAACCTTGTTATACATATATGTATTAAATATTATAACTTACATTTAGATATTTGTGTTTCTATAAGAGCTTGTTGAAATTCTCTTGTCACATAGACACGATGACCCATAAGGTATTTACCGCAGACATTACTATGAAATTCTTGACAGAAACCATCAGATTCAGCAGTTATTGAATTCATACTATATTTTATAAAGAGAAATAATATAGGCAAGTAAATGCTACTATTTAATGATACATTCAAACAATAGAATAAAAAATCTATGAAAAGAAATGCTTTGTTATTTAGAAAAGTTTCCTTTATCTTGTTGAAATTAAGGAATTAATTAACAATATTCTGTGAGTACATGAACTTCTCGCTTGATGTATATAGGCATATAAATTTTCTGTTTTTAGTTATTAGTGGTGTTGAGCTTGAGTGTTCAACCTTATATGGTATCAATGAGCTGAATGCATCTGTATCGTAGTGTTGATTATACCTTTCTAAACTCAAAATCAATGTCTATCACTTCAAATACCAAAGCGTAATCCAATAGAATATCTAGTAACGACGAAAACCCGTTCGTCCAGTGAGTGCAGTATTTTAATATTGATAATAGTTTATACCTTATCCGTCCTTAAATTCAGGAAGAAAATTTGTTAGCTTCTCAGGTTTGTAGTTTCTTCAAATAACGACTTTAAATTGACTAGTTAATAACAGTTTGATGCTTAAAGTGATGGACACTGTCCACGTTAATATCAGCAGTGGGGTAAAGTCCAACTCCATTGAAGGATATCCGAGAAGACAAAAAATTTATCTTGCATTAAACTGATAACTAAAATCTAGAATATTACAGGTGTAATATCGGATAATCTACAATTGTTTTCTGTTTCTTTACGAATAACATTTACCTTCTCTTTAGTGAAAACTTGGTAGTTATAAGCAACGATAGATAGTGGCTCGTAGTGGAATCCAGGACGCTCGTTTCACCCTATTTAGGACTCATCTGTTAGGTGTACCTGCGTCCAAGAGTTGATATTCACACCGGGACTCCAACCTAGTACCGTTCACCTCAAACATCATCACGTTATCCACTTAGCTACTGAGTTCTGATAACCACTAGTTTGTGCTCGTATGACGATAAGAGACTGATCGATATCAGTGCAAAACATTAATAGAAAGATTCAAACAATACAAAATAAATAAGTTGGTAGTCGGTTCAAAATGAATGACACATTATACTTTCCTTCAACTTCAGTTAGTATTTTTATAGAAGCTTTATAGATAACTGCGTTAATTTATGTTTACGTTTTATAAACTATGAATAACACTTTAGGATTAGATGCTTGAATTAGTTTCATGTTAATCCGAATGTGTAAAGTATGAGTAAACTCATAGATTTCAATTCATGAGAAGTAATAGACAACTATCCTTTGTGAGAAGTGATCTTTATCCTAGACAGTATAATTAACAAGGTCTAAATCAGTCAAGGTTACATTCATCGATAACTGACTGGAATAAACGGATGAAAAACATACTATATTAAATTATTCTTGTTTGCTGTAAAAGTGTATAGACGATTTGATTCGCTAGAATTTTAAGTCATCCTGAATCATGATAACAACTTTAAATATCTGGAAAGGTAGCCTCTAATATTAAGAATCAAGAAGGTACAATGACACACATAATCATCCAGTGATTAATATGAATAGATTAGTTGTTATTCTTGACCATAATTTGATATTAGTGGTTTTTTAGTGCATTAATGAATTAATAGTTTCAAATGATCAAGTCAGTTCAGATATCTACAAAATGTCAGTTATAAAACTTTCTTTATGAGATCGATGATGACAAGGAAGTTATTTCAACCATTTCATTTTAAGTTTTACTTATATCTCCTTTTTTCACTATCTGTTTTGTTATATTCTAAAAGTGGTATATATATGAAGTAAAAGAAGAAAGTATTAAAGATAAAGATTATAAATAAGGATTTGTGAGTGTATATGTGTTCTAAAGGAAATGTAACTTTTCCCATATAGTCACATTCATATTATATCGAGTGTTGAAATAAATAAATAAAAAACAAATGACAGAAAAAGCTTTTAGTCATTTCATTTTCTTATAGAATAATGTCCGTTTGTTGTATAACAACAGTATTGAAAATAAACTGTGTGTTTCATTTTGTCTATCGAGTAATACTACCAGAAATAATGATAATTTATTAGCTTTTTTAAAAGTGAGTCATCATGATGATGATATATAAAAGATGGATAGGAAAAGATGCTAATACTTATATCTTTTACTAAATAGAACCTTTTTAGCATTATTATTATTATTTAAGTGAAATGAAAATTAGAATTAGGCGCTTGACATAAAATTAAAATTATAGAAGGGGTTTTTGTGGAGATTTAGTATTTACTATAGTTGAAAGCGTGAGTCAATTGAAGCTAGACCACCATTGAAAACCTGGAAACACTGGACGGTCGTTTCGTCCTATTATGGGACTCCTCAGCAGTGCGCATCCACGAACCCACTCTCGCGAGCGAGATTCGAAGCCAGGACCTACCAGTCTCGAGCCAAAGCCCTTAACCGATAGACCACTGAGCTGGCATCCAACGGTGTTAATGTCCAACTTCAACTGATCCACGAAGTTGAGCAACCATTCACCAATTGTCTTCAGTGAGTTCCTATCTCACAACAGACGTGGTTTTAAACTCCACTGGTCACTGCTTCTCACTAGAGCTCCTAGATATACTTCTCGAAGTCACTAGTGAGCATATGATTATATTAATTATAGAAGGGGTTTTAAAAGTGATAAGAATAAACAAATAAATAATTCAAATTTCTGAAATAGTATTTTGGCTTTGTTATAAATTAGGCTTTATTATTATTTTAAGAATAATCAGTCAATGGTTTAAAAAAAACACAATCTAGTGTGGATGGTAAATTACGCTTCTCAATGACAAAAAATGAAGCTTCCATTTACCATGGAATAGAGGATTTGAGCAACTTTTTGAGATTACTAAATATATGCTTGATTCTGGTTTAATGATGCTTGTAATGGGTAGTCTTGTATTTTAATGTATTTAGATTTAAGATCTTTTGACCACATGAGTAATTATGTCTGTAGTTAATATTGGGAAATTATGGGAAATTTTGAAATAAGAATTTGACAAAATACTTTCTAAGTTTGAGGAAATACATCTGAACTTTAGAAAAAATGCTGAACTTTCTTCAAGACAGAGTAAAAATGTAATGAAATGGTGGATTAATGTCTAAATTTCTTCTAAATTCGATGATAGTCCTTTTATAGAAATTTTAGAATGATTCTTCCACAAAGTTGTTTGTTTGGGGGTTATTACTTAAAATTTAAATTTTTGTTGGTATATTACTTAGCAATTAAACAACAACCTGTTAATGGTAGTATTGAATGATAAGACTGAATCTGAAAATGTAAGACATGTGAATTGAACGAGATTTTTTTTAAAAAGGTTTAATTTTTCTTAGTTCATAAGATTCTCATTGATTGTTGTATATGATAATCTCGAAAATTTCACTATTGTGAACCTCTCAACTTCATTAACTTCATTAACCAAAAAAAATCTAACAGAAATCTAATATTCATGGAAATAAATATGAATAATCAATTATTTTTTCATAGTTGAAATCATGAGTTGATTGCAGCTAGACCACCAAGGAAAACCTGGAAGTGAGGCGGGATCTTGGATGCACACTGGTGAGGAGTCCCACAATAGGACAAAACGGACGTCCAGTGATTCCAGGTTTTCCATGGTAGTCTAGCTCCAATTGACTCATGATTTCAACTATGAAAGTACTGAAATCTCCACAAACCCTTTTCTGATTACTCAATTAATTTATTCGTTATTGGAGAAAAGTTTGATTTTAGAAATTTAACAGTAAACTCAAAAATTTGATGAAAATAAAGCTAAATTGAATATTATAACATGAAGTTGTTTAAATTTGGACACTAAGTTTGGATAATCAATGATATGTACATAAAACAATAATAATAATAGTAATGATGATAATACTAATGATAATGATAACTGGACATTGTAACTAATTTATTTTCAGTAAAAGTTTCGGACATATACCGTACGTATTTTTGTGTGCTGTAGAGGTGGAGCAATAAATTAGAGTTCCTGGATCCAGTACATTTGTGTGAACTCAATATTTGTTCTAATCTCTTTGTTTCTCTGAAACTATATACTGCTTGTTACGAGAACTGTGATAAGTGTATATATAAGTTGACAGACAAGATATGGAAACGTCATGAGAATCTTCTAAGTTTTAAACTCAGACTGTAATGAGAATGTGTTAAGTTGGTATTAAGAAATGTTTATTTGACTGAATGTTACCAGCGATAAAATATACTGACAAAACAGATAGTGAACAGCTATTAGGAGAAACAATCAGATGTACGTAAGGGTGATAGCAAACTGAATCTGAGGTTAGTCACTTACATGTATGTAATTATTTGTTTACAGCAAATCAAAATAAGCACTTGAAACTTCTGAAGTCTCACGCCATCTACCTATATATATTTATATATAAAGGGATGGAAAACAAAATTAAAGCCTAAGGGAAGAAACACTGATTGTTATAACCCTAACAACATACCTATTTAATCACAGGAGTAACTTCCGATACAACACAAATAAAGGGGGAAAATTATCAATAACGTGAAAACTGAATAAGATAAGTTTAGTGGTAAGTTTTCAGGAAAAAGAAACTATGAATTAAGACAGTGTAATTACAACTTTCATTCTAGGTAAGAAAAAGAAGTCTAATTATGAACAGGAGTTTTTAAATTGCTAAATACATTATTTTTATTTGTTATCCCACTAAACTACACAAACTAACACAGATTGGATGGTATGTGGCTAGCGATGAAAGCTAGAACGTTTGTTTTGTTCTGCATGGGATTAATCAGCGAGACACACCTGAATCTCAGAGTTGATATTTACTTTAAGATTCGGACTCATTATCTCTAGCTTCAAGTGCCAACAAGTTATCCACTTAGCTAGTGAGTCCATATAGCCACTAATTTGTGCAAAAGGTATAAAATTTAATTTAGTTTGTAATGTTTCGGATTGTTCAGGTACATTCAGCTGACCAGTTCAAAGTAGGATAAAACAAGCGTCCTGGATTCCACCGCTAGCTTCACTACATCTATTCCACAAAAATTTGTGTCATATTTGCCTAATCGAGACAATCTGGTTATAGTCCACGAAAAAACCAACTAAGATTGATCCAAATTCAGTCAAAATACCAACAGCGCGATGATTTCAACCATTATAAATTAAATTAATATTCAAATCTACATTTAAATTGCATCTGTGATCATTAGTTTTAGGATACCATTAGGAAAGTTAGTTTTTACCAGTTACTAACATGATGATAAAGGTATTAGCTTTATCCTATTATTAGAATTAATTAACAGGTTGCAGAAGTAAACATGAGGAAATTAGTACTATCTAATAGATTAACGTTTAATTTGCATAATGGTATAATATTGAAGCAAATTATCAGTGGAATTTTGAAGAATAAAGTTACTACCTGTTTGATTGACTTAGGCTACATGCAACTTATTAACCAGACTTGCTACTGTTCTAGGAGCGTTTCACAAGTTTTCGAATCTGATTATTCCTAATGGGTTTATTTTTATGCAGCCTATCACAGTTTCTTTGAAAAAGAGTTTACATAATGGAATGTCTTGTCTTTTTTTTACATATCACCTCACCCTTCAGAAGCCACATAATGTTTACTAGTGTATAATTTTTATTTTCACACTATTTTATAAAAAAACTTAACGAGAACATTATGAGCTTTCTGGAAGTAATGCTAGTCTATATGCATAGAGAAATGGTATTGATAGTTAATCTAAATAATATAAACTGCCACAACATAATTTGCATTTATTTGACCACTTTCTTTGAATGTCTTTCTGGCGTGAAATAACAAAATATGTCTTCTAATAACTGTTAATAATTCATAAACATAAAACTTTAGTTTCGTGAACGCCTTGAAATTACCTATCAATCTGCTTCTTTTAACTTAAGTGATTATATATATTTTCATTCTGTTGGTATTTATGGATGAGTAGAATAAACAGTCGAAATGTAAACTGGTTAGTTTTTAAATGTTATAAAAAAACTTTTTTTAATTTTTAAAAATGTTAATCCTAATAAATGTGTGACCTAGAGGTTTCTAGTTCAGTTCCAAATGGAGTCGTTTGGGAATGCTCTTGAAGACTTTCACACTAGAATAAATAATTGTTCAGTACCTACTGATGTCTTCGGAAAACATTAATCAGTTGAAGAAATTACTTTTATGTTATACAAAATTCATACAAATCAGACCTAATAATTATTCATCAGTTTTGTTTGCGTTGACTGAAGTCGGTATTATGAATAATTGAAGGTTCCAGAGTTCCTTTGCTTAAAATGATCCTATGTAACTGACATTTACTATATTAGTAACTGTGTGTAGTAAGATAGTAAATATACTGTAACTTCAACTGAATTGATTGTCTTTGCTTGAGATACAAAAGCTACATATATACAGTCTCATGTTCATACAAGATATATTTGAATAGCTCCATGGACTAAAATGAAATCCTTAGTGGAAACTAATATCTTTCATTGTGTACTCACTCAATAAATGAACAAAAAAACGCTCAAAAATGTTTTTGTTAACCTAACATCGTGTTGTTGACATTTTCTTTCTAATTATATCAACTAGGCATTATTCACAAAATGATTGTATAGAAAGCACAACTTCATTGAATGAATAATACAGTATCTCATTAATGGAATACTATTTGCTTTACTTATATTTCCTTTAAATTATATTGAATCAACTCAAAAATTATGTTAAATGTTAAATTGATATTAAACAATCAATGATTATTAGAATAAAGTTAATATTAGAAATATTATTTATTAACTATTAACTTACAGATATTGATTTTCTTGTTGTAAAATTGGTTTCACAAATGTATTTGGCTTGGGAGCTATACGATATGAAAAAATATAAGAGAAAAAAAATTAGGAGAAAAAAAATTAAAAGGAAAAAAGTTGAAAACTTAATAAATTCATAAATGAAAATATTTTTCGTTTAAAATATTTTTGGTAATTTATAAATGTTTTAATGAAAGTAGTATTTTCAGAAGGGATGTTGTGGATATTATGATAATTTTAATAGTTGAGATCATGAATCAATTGGACCTAGACCACAATGGAAAACCGTGAAGCACTTGACGGCCGTTTCGTTCTATTATGGGACTCCTTAGCAGTATGCATCCACGATCCCGTACTCGAGATTTGAACCATTATTTCAAAATCTTTATAACATGCTACTGTATATCAAATTACAAAAAGTAAATAGATTGCTTTTTTTTTCAAATACTTCCAGTTAAATCAAGATGAAAAGAAATATAAAATAATGAGGTTTCAAATTTTAAATAAACAGTATAATTCTATCAAAATTCAGTAGTGTGCAATTTCCCCAAGATTTTGAATTGTAAATGCAGACTACTTGGTTAAAGTCCGCGTGAGTATTGTAATTAATGGTTGGAGACATAGTTCAGAATCCATCACAATGGCGAAGGTGTAAACACTCTTTGTTTTCCCGTAAACCGTCAAATATCTGTCTTTCATCCTGTACTATATCCTTATATACAATCTTTCTTTTATATATTAATACCACTAAATTAACTACTTCTATAAATTTGACGTTCATGTTGTTGTGCTAATGAGGTATGGCAACTTGGATCGATGCATATATATGCCTGGTCCTACGTTGTAGCCGACTGACTTTTGTCTTTTTTTAAGGTTAATAAGTGAAACTTCATTTGTCAAAAATTCTTCAGTGAGAACTATTTCATGCAGATATGTACTAATATTTGGACAATCTCTTGTATGTTATATATATATATATATATATATATATATATATATATATATATTACTCAAATCTGAATAAATGAAACCTATTTATTCAAAGTACTCATATATATGTGAAAGATTACTTATAATTCGAGTTGAAAAATTAACATATTTTTTCTAATTTTTCTTTTCGGAGAAAAAATGACTCATTTCATGAAAGATAATATTTAGTTATTCATTTCATTCTAATCATGTCATCATTTATTTTTTGTTATTTTTTTTACATGCCGAATAATAATAATAATACTCATAAAGATAAAACAATCTGAAAGAAAAAAAAGTGTAAAAAAAACAATAAAACATTTTTTTTGAAGTTGCGTGACATTGATTATTATGATTATCATGAATTATTTAGTGTTTCTATGGTATGAATAAATATGGATTACATGAATTGTTTGTCATTTTTCTAGTTTATCATAAAAAACAAACAAAAAACAATCAGAAAAAAATGATTTTTTTTCTTTTCTAGTAATCATTTCATATTTATATAATTTCTCTAGGAAAAAAGAAAAAAAAATATGATAGAAAAAAATGGAGAAAGAGAAAATGAAGAAAAAACTTTAAACGATTAATCAAAAAGAAAAAAATTGACTTATAACAAAATTAAGATTATTATTATTATTGTTTTAGGATTATTATTTGTAGACAGAATTGATATAATGAAAGGTAAGAATTATATAAATATATTGTAAAAATATAAAAATTTATCAGTACCATGTACATTAAAGAGTAAAAATGATGAATAAAATACAGTTGAATATTATTAAATTTTAAATAAAATACTATTTATAATGTTAGATTACTGAAATATAATTTTTTCATAAATATACACGACATAGAAAATTACAAGGAGTTTTGTGGAGATTTTAATAATTTCATAGTTAAAATCATTAGTCAATTGAACCTATACTACTATCGAAAAGCTATTGTGGGAGTCCTCAGCATTTAGCATCCACGATTCCGCACTCGCAAGCTTTGAACCCAGGACCTATCAGTCTCGCTCCAGAGCAATTGACCGATAGACCACTGAACCGGCATCCGACGATGTCAATGTCTAGCTTCAACCAATCCACGAAGTTTGAGTAACCATTCATCAATTGTCTTCAATGAGTTAATATCTTACAACAGATGTTGTTTGAACTCCACTGGTCACTGTTTCTCACTAGAACTCCAGGAAATATCTCTTGAAATCAGTCTAGCATATGATTATGACCAAAAGGGGTTTTGTGGAGATTTCAGTATTTTCATAGTTGAAATCATCCGTCAATTGAAGTTAGATTATATATATGTATATATATATATATATACTAATTAGAGCGTTAAAAGAGACTATTTAGTGTCAATCGACATTTTTTCTTTTCCGCATTATTTACGTACTTACTTACGCCTGTTATCCCTCGTGGAGGAACATAATTCTTACAAAAGTAATAAAAACTTAAATGACACACCGTATTTCGGAGTTTAGAAATTAGTACAACAAATAATGGGAGTATAGAATTAATTAATATTTATGCTCATAATTACAGAGTACTCTCTATTTTTTTTACAGTAAATAATAAAAATGGTTTGGATTAGTATTTTTGTTTAATAGATAATCAGTATAATAGCCACCAAATGTCCTGGTACGGCCGAAAGTGGGGAGAGTCCGCTCTCCCTCTCTAAATGCTCTCACATGGTCACGCATATATAGCCTCCACCAGGGAAATTCTACTCACTACTTTCTCGCACCAGAAGTGTTGTTTACGAAATCGAGAGGACGAAAAACAAATGTCCGGCACTTAAACCGTGTTGGCGGACACGGAGGATCCACCTAGGGGAGTTGGAAACCCTAATTCTAAACCAATGGCTCCAGTATCCTGAGAGAACCAATGGCGCATGAATCAATCGTTAGACACCGGCTTCCAAGGGACTGCATCTCTTCACGATGCTCCACTGCCTTGTGGATAAGGTCTTTAAGTCAATTGCTCCGGGTGTGGCTCCCTAAGAAAACCACCTTCTTCGACCCGGGAACCCGGGTAATGTCACAGCCCTCACACAATTAAATGAAGTGACAATGTTTTTTGTGGCGCATATATATCTGGTGCCCCCTTATACCAATATTTATGTGTTCAAGTAAATAAATAAAGGAACCTTTCATCACAACTATCATCCGTAAACACAACAGATATTTGTAAATAAAACTATGAAGAGCTGATATCGTTTTGTTTTAATGTTTTATCAAGCTCATTCAATCGCATTATTTACATAGAAAAACTTCCAAGTGAAATGTTTTTTTTAAAAAAATGATTTAATATATGAATTTCTTTAAATAAATTTTCTTATTAAAATAGAAGGTATAAAATTAATTTTTCACTAGATGGACTTTCTTCTTCCAATTTTTTTCTCTATTCCTTAAAAAAATTAATTAACTAATCCGGTGGATAGGTGATTGGTTAACTAATTCAATGTATAACTAAAATTTAAAAAAAAACCGATTGTGTTTTAAATTTTTAGAAAAAAAAAGAAAAAGAAAAAAAGGTAAAAATTAGTACAGAAAATCAGTGAAAATATAAAAAAAGAAGAAAATTACCTCAAGATGCATAAATTTTATTTTTATTGTTCTTTCTTTTTTTATCTTTTATGCATAGAAATAAATAAATTTAAAAAAACTTATTTTAATTAATGAGCTAATAATAAATTGAATTTTTTTAGTCATAAATATTGATATAAATAGGTAAGTAAATTTTATTGTTATTTATACATAAAGTTATGTAGGTTTGATTTAAAAGAAACAGAATGAGACGAAAAAGTAATAATTTTGGTGTTTTTTGCAAAATTTCAAATATATAATTAATTATAGTTGGTTATTGTCTGTAGGTAATTGGATGGACTGTGAGATATTTATTAGTTTATATATAATTCTAATTCTTATCAGAAGGGATTTTGTGGAGATTTCAGTATTTTCATAGTTGAAATCATGAACCGATTGAAGTTAGATCACCATGAAAATCCTGGGAGCACTGGACGGTCGTTCGAATCGCGCGAGACGAGATCGTGGATGCACAATGCTGAAGAGTTCCACAATGCGACGAAACAGTCGTTGAGTGCTTTCAGGTTTTCCATGGTGGTCTAGCTTCAATTGACCCATGATCTCAACTATATTAAATTACTAAAATCTTCAGAAAACTTCCTTTCAATAGTTCTTTAGTTGATGAGAATAAATGAATCTTAAATGAATCTTCATAAGACACTCTCTAAATATTCATTGAATATTTATTAAAGATATCTAGCTTTGAAATATATTACCGAATGTCTGTGATGAGAAGGTGTGATTTAAGTGGTCATCTATGTTAAGAGTATAAAACATATTTGTTAATTTCAAGGTATCATAGTTTTATTGAATTATTAGTAAGAGGTTGTGGAGATAGTTAAGTTTTTAAATGAATTGTAAATTAACCAGAGATTTTGGTAAGATGATTATGAGATGTTATGAGTACGAACTGTTGACTATTAACAAGTCAGAACAATAAATCTACTTTCATAGACGTATGAAAAAAGTTGTATCAAATGAGTGACCTACATCGTTGAAACTAACATGAACGCTTAACACTTGCCATGACTAATAATTAATGACATTGACAGTTATATATCTATAAAATGAAATATATTTCTTTTTAAAAATGAACGTAATTTAAGTTATATATCAAGTCTCCAAGCTGTTTTTCTCGATAAAGTATCAAGAAGGATGTTATTTGATTGTTTAAAAACATTTTAAGCAGTTAGCCCCTTTGATAAATTTCGATAGTGTAATAAGAGGAAGATTATCAGAACTATGTGATATATTAGCGCAATACATTTCGAACAATCTGATCACATGTAATATACTTGTTAAGAACATTTATATATAAAAATAAGAGGTCAGCTAGACTGGAAATGAGGGGGGGGGAAGAGGAGACAAGGATAATAATAATAATAGTAATAGATAATGAGGAAAACAGAACAGGTTGAAAATTCATCTTGGTTGTTTTAAAAGTCTCTCTGTACTATACTGTGTTTGAATTGTTTCATACTATCGGTGTTATATCCCCTGGTGAATTATGAATCGTAAATCTGAGGTCTATTATCGACCAATGTATTATGCCTATTTCTTATTGTACAGTTGTTACGTAACTAAATTATTCATATTAGTTTTCTCTTATCATGAGCTTTATTTTGATCTTTGATTTATGATCATACGATTCTTGAGTTATAATCAGTTTATTGATTACTTTGGTTTGTATAAAAACCCAGTGTGTTTGTAAATAATGATTCGTATTTCCGAGGCTGTTATTTGTGTTCTGGACTCAACTGGCTGGGCTAGACAGATAGGAAGGACCGAATAGCACCCAAGACTGCTCAGGGCATACGTTATAACAGTGGCGACGGGGATTTTGGTACGCAAAAGAAAAAAGTATACAGTTTTCGACGGGGATTCTGGAAAAAAATACAGCACTCAATACTGTTCGTACGATTTCAATCATCATTTGCGGCCGATCAATAAATTCACTCCTCTCTAAATTGGCGTTCATATAAATTACGGGCCCATACGATATAACAACTGACGACGGGGTAAAAAAAATGGCTTTAACTTCCAATCAATTTCAGTTGCTAATTCAGAGACAAGAGCAGCGTTTTAAAAAGAGTCAGTTGGATTTCATTGACAAGTTACACGCGACGCTGCTGAATCACCCATGCTTTGGGGGTGCAACGGAAGTTGACGCATTGATTTCTAAATTGCGTATAGAACTGGAAGTCGATTACAGAACAAATGAATATGCAGAGGAAAGCCTCTATGAATCCGCGAAAAACAGTAATTTAGATGCAGCAGTAACAGTCCTACATGATCAGCCCAGTAGTCCGGTGCTGCCTGTTTCAGAAACGTGCCCGGTAGTGGATTCAAACACCACTATCCCTGAATTAGCAGGTCCGAACAGTGATGCTCCCAGCTCTCAGCAACATGATGCCATGTCAAATGCTCATGAAATTGCTGCAGTACCCGCCCACGAAGAAATGGGAAGCAAATCGAGCAGTATATTGAATGCAGAGGCGCCAAATGAAATTATTCATGATACGGAAAATTTTTCTAATGAATCTAATGATCAAAATTATCTAATTGTTCTGCCAGATCCCGATTATTTTACTGATTCATATGTTCCAGTTCAAATCTCTTATAAAAATGGGAGAAAAATATCGGATGCATTAAATGATAATCAAGAATCCAATACAAATTTCATAGATACTGATTATCCTAATGATTCATTATTTACTAATGAGGTTCCGTTAGGATTGAACTGGAGGACGAGAAAGCCAAATGTGAATTCCAGAGACAACTGAGTTCATATCTAGGCAGTTCTGTAAACGAGACTGACCCGGATGCTGCTTGGAAAGGCATACGAACAGCTGTGGAGACAGCAGTAACATCTATTAGTCATTTAAACCATAGGGCTCCAAAAAACCAGTGGATTTCTTCTAGGTCTATTTCACTGATGGATTCGCGTAAACTCATACCATCAGGCTCTGAACATGACGAAGAGCGTAAAGAAATTAGATCTAGGTTAACTAAAAGTCTAAGGAACGATCGTGAGCAGTGGTGGGCAACGAAAGCAAAAGAGATGGAAAAAGCAGCGGCTGTAGGCAACACCAGGCAACTATTCAGACTAATAAAAGAAACTGGAATTAAGAAGTCAAGTGTAAGTGAGACGATCTCGGAAAAAGATGGAACCCTTATCTGCTCTCTACCCAAACGTTTAGAACGATGGGCGGAACACTTTAAGGAGCAGTTTAGCTGGCCTTCAGCTACTGCACAACTACCCACTATTCCTAGAAAACCTGAATGGAACATTGAAGTAGGCCCCCCGACCCTACTTGAAGTTCAAAAGGCTATAGGTAATCTGAAACGAGGAAGAGCAGCTGGTCCTGATGGATTGGCTCCAGAGGTCTTTAAATATGGTGGTCCAATTTTAGCGATTAGGATGACTAATATTCTGGCTAAAATCTGGGAGACGGATGTAATCCCATCCGACTGGTCACAATCACTGATTGTCCCAATATATAAAAAGGGGTCAAAATCATCCTGCGATAACCATAGAGGGATTAGTCTGACTAACATAGTATCTAAAATACTAGCCTCAATAATTATCAGGCGCCTAGCTAAAACTCGTGAACTGCAAACACGAGAAAATCAGGCTGGCTTCAGACCTGGTCGTGGCTGTATCGACCACATATTCACCATTCGTCAAGTTTTAGAGCACAGACATGCTTATCGGCGTCCGACAATGATAGTTTTTCTTGACTTGAAAGCAGCATTTGACTCTGTAGACCGAGAGGTTCTGTGGCAGTGTCTGTCATTGAAAGGTGTACCTGAGAAGTACATAAACCTTGTGAAGGCTCTTTACTCGAACACTATCAGTCGAGTGAGAGCTTATGGCGAACTGTCATATGATTTTACAACCTCAAGTGGTGTCCGTCAAGGCTGTCCACTATCCCCATTTTTGTTTAACTTCATTATAGACCTGTTGCTGGAAATAACACTCTCTTCGACTGAGTTTACAGGAATTGATCTCCTACCAGGGGGACCACTAAGCGACTTAGAATACGCAGATGACATAGTCCTGTTTGGTGAAGACGCTGACAAAATGCAGAGTCTTCTGTTGGAACTGAGTAATAATGCCAGGATGTTTGGGATGCGTTTCTCCCCATCCAAATGTAAATTGTTACTCCAGGACTGGCCTGCGTCAACACTCGAACTAAGGATAGGGAGTGAAGTAGTCGAACGCGTTGACAACTTCACTTATCTTGGAAGTCTGATCAGCCCTAATGGGTTGGTGTCTGACGAAATCTCAGCACGGATTCAAAAAGCTCGTTTGGCTTTTGCCAACTTACGTCACCTATGGCGAAGACGAGATATCCGTCTATCAATTAAGGGACGAGTATACTGCGCAGCAGTTCGCTCTGTTCTACTTTACGGCTGCGAAACATGGCCATTAAGAGTAGAAGATACTCGTAGGTTACTAGTATTTGACCACAGATGCCTTAGAAATATTGCTCGCATCTGCTGGGATCACCGAGTAAGTAATAGTGAGGTTAGACGCAGGGTATTAGGTAACGATGGTAAATCAGTTGATGAGGTGATAAATCTTCATCGACTGAGATGGTTGGGCCATGTGTTACGTATGCCTGAACACCGATTACCACGACGCGCTATGATGACTAGTATTGGGGACGGTTGGAAGAGAGTTAGGGGCGGCCAAACCAAAACATGGCATCAGTGTTTGAAGTCACTAACTTCTAGCCTGAGCCATGTTGGCAGATGCAGACTACCTGGTTGGGGTCCGCGTGACTATCGTAATAAATGGTTGGAGACTCTAGGTGACATGGCTCAGAATCGATCACAATGGCGTAGGTGTATACACTCTTTATCTTCCCTTAAACCTTGAGATTAAAATTGCTTCATATCTCTCTTCCTTCCTGTACGATATCCTTCTATACAATCTTTCTTTATATACTACCATCACTAAATTAATTGCTTCTATGAATCCGGTGTTCATCTTGTTGTGCTAAAGAGGTATGGCAACTTGGACCGATGCATATATGTGCCTGGTCCTACGTTGTAGCTGACTGACTGACTGAATGAGGTTCCGAGTAAATTCAAGGAAACTGTTTCAGAAGAATCAGACGCTGGTGACCTCAAATCGAATGTAGTCGATCCTCACGATCTAATAAGTTCTCGTGGATTCTCAGCTAAATACGACGAATATGTTTTAAATAATGTCACAATAATGGTAACTTGGGTTCATGAGGATCCAACAGTCTTTCGTGGGGGAGGATGAATTCGAGAAATTAAAAATCCGGATGTCAACTCCGGATTTCTCAAAAAGGGGAGGTGTTATATCCCCTGGTGAATTATGAATCGTAAATCTGAGGTCTATTATCGACCAATGTATTATGCCTATTTCTTATTGTACAGTTGTTACGTAACTAAATTATTCATATTAGTTTTCTCTTATCATGAGCTTTATTTTGATCTTTGATTTATGATCATACGATTCTTGAGTTATAATCAGTTTATTGATTACTTTGGTTTGTATAAAAACCCAGTGTGTTTGTAAATAATGATTCGTATTTCCGAGGCTGTTATTTGTGTTCTGGACTCAACTGGCTGGGCTAGACAGATAGGAAGGACCGAATAGCACCCAAGACTGCTCAGGGCATACGTTATAACAATCGGTAAATAAGTAATGGTATACATAAGAGATGATTTTCTTACATCTGTTATAATGTATATTTATAAACAAAGTGTTGCTTCCAATGGGGTGAAGATACTTTCAATCAACAACCCAATGTATTTTAATAAGTCATTACAAGAAAAAGATTAAAAATTAATGAATATACTTTACAGAATAATGAAACAAACACTTTCATGCTTACTTTTACTTGTTAATTGTAAATAAGCTGTGGCATTCAATGTTCCAGATGGATTAGTTGCCACGCACAAATATTGTCCAATGTCAGAATTTTGTAATTTTTCCACCCGTAAACTAGAAATTAATAAGTGAAAACCATCTAATTTAAGTAATGAAATAGGCTTATGAAAAAAATAAGAAATATATGTAAAATAAACTAATATTTCCTTTGTTATTTCATCGATTTGACTTCAATCAAGCATATTTAAAGCTTAGTTTCACCGTATCTAATCATCAGATTCCATTAAATGCAAATTTGTCACTATGATACATGAAATGTAATAATTCAGTATACTAAAATCCATTTTTATTGCCTAGTGGCAAACATACCTCACTGAATTTTTATAGTAAGCAAATTTTATCACATTTACAATGAACACTGTTTAGAAATGTGGATAGAAGTACAATGAATAGGTTTTCTTGGACGATTGAATTAAATGAATCAACTTACTGTTTTACGAATATGATCTAGCTACTTATGAGTAATAAAAGATTTGATAACCTGTGCGATGTAGCATGAAACACAAACTAAATGAGGAAACAATTAATTCTCCAAACTACTTAGAGATAGATGACAGAATAATAGAGATAGGAACTCACTGAAGACAATTGGTGAATGGTTGCTCAACTTCGTGGATCAGTTGAAGTTAGACATTAACACCGTTGGATGCCAGCTCAGTGGTCTATCGGTTAAGGGCTTCGGCTCGAGACTGGTAGGTCCTGGGTTCGAATCTCGCGCGAGCGGGTTCGTGGATGCGCACTGCTGAGGAGTCCCATAATAGGACGAAACGGCCGTCCAGTGTTTCCAGGTTTTCCATGGTGGTCTAGCTTCAATTGACTCATGCTTTAAAAAACTATGAAAAATACTAAATCTCCACAAAACCCCCTCTGATAATTAATAAATAGTTGTTTATTCAATATCTGAGATTTCTCTGACAAAGTCATTTTTCCTTCATGTATTTTCCCAAATAAAAAGTAAAATGTTAAGTGTATTAATAAATTGTTAGTGATTGTAAATAATCAGTAAGACACAAATATTCTTAAAGTTTAGAGTATATGTTAGTTAACTGTTATTTTATATGATTAATGTATAAACTGTGTCGAAAACTATGACCAATATGTTAAGATTATGTTAGAGTTCTGCGCAAAGGAACGTATTTTATGGACAGTTTTCTATGTGATTCAAGTTTCAGCCGGTTCCTCTTTAATAGACGAGTATGAAACACTATATTCATAGGATGTTTGTACACCATGTCGAATATTATTGATCATATCATTCATATAATTCATACTTATAACTTGTTGATGATGTAACGTCGAATTTGAATGTACCGAAATTTATTTGTATTTTTAATTATGACAAAAGTTTGTTAGTGTAATTCTTGTTATCTTTTTAGTATAATGATTTTTACAAAAATAAATATGAATTGATTTAGTCAAAAATACTTACGCGCTTCCCCATAACGCAGTAGTTATTTTAATTTTATTCGGTTTCTCTGACAACTTTTCACCATTTTTATACCATTGAAATTGAGGTATAGGTTCACCAAGAATATCACAATAGAATGTACCTTTTGCTCCAATTGAACGAGTTAAGTTACGCATTGGTTGACTTAACCGAATGTAGGCTGTTAGGGGATATTTAAAGAAATGTTCTTCAGTTAATTAATAGAAATGAAATTAAAAGAAAATCAAAGTTTAATTGACTGGATGCTTTTAAAACGATAGTCATAAAGTGAATAGTGATCGACAGTGTATAGAGAAATAATTTAATTGAACAATTTCTAATTCAAAGAAAGATATAAACTTAATTTTGATTCACTCAACAACTGTAGCTATGTAAGAAAAAAATTTCTTTTTAAGTGAGGTAAGAAGCAACAAGCAAAACTGTTGATAATTGAAGTTGAACACTTATATTTCTGATGGTTCAAGGACAACCTTTAGATCGAATTTTTAAACATAAATATCATAAAACATATAATGTTTAGGTTTTATACTATGACAAGTACATGTAGACTAGAAGTCCCCTCTAGAAACGAAATAGTTGTTTGTTGTTGTCCTATTTTTCTTCTTGGTAATTATTTCCATCTTAATAGAAATTTTCATCAAATCACTTAAGTACACACAAATCATGTGAGAGCAGATGACATACTGTGAAATGAAACTTCTCAAATTTTCATGAAAATCAGTGAATACTTTTTTAAACATTCGCTGCACCGAAAACCGTTAAATTTTCCTTGATTAAAAGAAGGAAACTACCATAAAACATGTAACCATATTTATCTGAAGTAACTGTTAACGGCATTAACTTGAGCGGTAATTAAGAAATAATTAAACCCTTGAATGAATCCCTAGTAACGATGGAGAAATCTTCATTCAGTGATTTAACTTTATTCAAATTGTTTGTGTTAGCCAAATTAGATTGAAAAATTTAAATTTAGAAGGTCGATGAAGCTAACAAACGACCGTGCAGGACTTATTCTAATCAAAGTAATTCATTCTATCAGGAAATAATGAGAGAAAAGCCGTGAATTGTATTTATAATTAACTAATAAATGGCAATTTTCACTTGGAGAAAGACAGTAAAATTTACTATTTTTATAGAATGAACAAAATTTGTTAATGGAATTATTCAAGTAGACTTAAAACTGTGTTTATTCACATCAATAACTATAGTTGAAAAATTCCATCATTTGATAAATATATTTTTATAAACAATGTACAGACATCACTTACTAATTCTTTTCTCAACTCCATAACTAAAACCTACGGACTATGAGCAATAAAAAGGGCATCACATGAACTAATTTACCCCTTTCGTTTTTTTATGACGTACGATATTTCTCTTTTAGCAAAAATATTGACATATCACAATATGTTTATACATGCCAATATAAATAACTACACAGGAAACAAACTAAATTCAGTCTTTATTATAGGGATAGGCAAAGAAACAATCACTAGGGATAAACATATACCGAACAAACCATCTAGTAAACATATGTTATCCACAGCATTACAGATTTACTGACAGCTTTTTAACTAAATTTTCTAAGTTCAAATAGAGGATAATTATCATTAAACTTTTTTAGAAGCCAATTTGGTCAACTAAGAGTATATAAGGCTTTTACAAAACATTCCATAGATCAGATGACCATGTTCTTAACTGATTTGATTGGTCAAGTATTAACATCATTATCAATATTAGTATCTTTTTCAAGTTTTAAAATATCAGAGTCCAAAGGCTTGACATTTGAATGCACTGTTTTTTCGTAACTAAACAAACTTCATTCATTTAACTTCTTTCGTAAATCCACCTTCTAGTTTACCCGAATATCTGCTGGTCAGAAAACGGCTTTCTAGAAATGGACTGGTATTTATCTCAATTGTTTGATTTACCGGATATCTAAGGGAAAATTCAGTTTTAGTCTAGTTTTTTAACTATCTTTATCACTACAAGAAAATAATAAGAGCAGTGGCCACTCTGCTTTTATAACACTAACCACGATTACTAGTCACTACGTTAGGTGTCACTACATGTAACATTCGAAAATATAAGATACAAGATTAATGAAATATAAGGAGTAATTTCTACTTACTTTTACGTTCTTCTACAGGTTTATCTTCATAGTGTATACTAGAAATGAAAAAATGAAACATAATAACAAGATTAGAAAGAAAAACAGATGAGAATTTCTATGAAACTTGCTAAACGTTTGTAGCCATCAGTTAATTTTGAAGATTGTTTCCGATATTAGTGTTATGTTCAAAAGTGTTAAATGATATATATATATATATATATCCGGTGCGTGTTATCAGGAGTTTTATAACAAGCCATTCCATTCAATAAGCATTTTGACACATTTGAGTAACATTGTAAAATGATAATACGCAATGGTAATTTGTCAATCAAGCTTACCGGATAGATAATAGTTAGAGGTTTTTGTTAGATAGATGAAGTCAATGGATTGATTTTTTGAATTATTTTCAAAAAACGTTTATGACAGAATTACATCAAACCTTTTTACAGACTAACAGAAATTTTCTACACTTTAAAAGTAACATGGTGTACTGTAGAACTGAGCTGTCAGTTTAATATGTTTAGTAATAAAATTCTTTTTTTTTCGACAGAATCATTTGGCTCGATAATTTCAAACAGACATCTTTATAATCAGTCATTCAAAGCATAAATACTTTTTTGAGGCTTATTACTAATTTAAATAATCAAAATGAGATAATGAGTTTAGTAGCTGAAAAACTAAATAGAAAAGGGATTAATATTTTTGATTTGATTATCATATGATACTACTATATTTATTTTATTTTATTTAAACATAAATATTGGTACAAGGAAGCACCAGATACATATGCGCCTCACAAATCTCATTTGATTTGTGTGAGGGCTGTGATACTGCCCAGATGCTCAAACTGAAGCAGGTGATTTTCTTAGGGGGCCACACCCGGAGCCTTTGACCGAAAGGTCTAGTCCACAAGGCAGTGGAACATCTTGAGGAGATGCAGTCCCATGGTAGCCGGTGACCAACAATAGGTTCATACGCCATTCGTTCCCTCAGGATACTGGAGCCCATGTGCACCATTGGTTTGGAATCAGGGTTTTCCAACTCCCCTAGGTGGACATTCCATATCCACCACTACTACTATATACTACTATATACTCGATAGCATACTTAGATTCAAACTGCCTATTGATTATGAGTAGTTTCAGTTAATGCTAAATCCTTTCTTTTTGAGCAAAACAAATTTATTCACCTCTGTTACTTAACACAAACATATCTGAGGGGGTTTTGTGGAGAATTTAGTATTTTTACAGTCAATTGATCACATAATGGTAAATAGTCAGATTTACTAGAAGATACAACTTAAATTCATTAAAGTTAATACTAGAAATAAAATGTATTTCATGCAGTTAGTCCCCTTTATTCTGCATCAATATTTGTTCTATCTTTATATAAAATGTATTATTGAAGAAAATTGATTCTTCAGTTTTAGTCGAATGTAAAGCACTGAATGTTATAGAAATTTGTTAAAGGAGCTGTGGTGAACGAAAACAAGTGGGGTCGATCGAATGTACTTGAATACAAATTTACATAACATCTTAGTAAAATCTGGGAACCATATAGTAAATTATTCATTTGCAAAATGTTAATTAGTCTTCTCAGACTTCATTGTTCCTTCGTTTCCACAGCAATCATTTGTTGTTCTCGTTCTATTTTTCTTCGATTTTTTAAACTTTCTGCCTCTACGCATTTCACTTTCTACTGATGATACCTACTGCTCACATCTGTCGACATCAGTAGCACACACCACAGTACATGTGCCTTAAAAAATGTATTTATAAACCACAATTAACTCATTAATTATTGATGTCCATTTATACGATGAATGGTATTGTGAAACCTTGTAATCTAATAATGCCTATTCTTAGAAAGTTTTTAAATGATATACATATTTCCGCATATATTATTTCCTTTTAGTAATGGTAATAAATCTATGAAGATAATCGATTTAATATTATATTGGTGACCGGCTAAGCTATTTTCGTCAATCGATATAACCAATTTTTAGCTGAAGAAAATGATTGATTGACTTTTTAAATAATCTGTAAAACACATGTTTTTCACAGGCGTATTTCTGTAAAAGTCATCGCTTGTGATATGGTTTAACAATTCTTATTACTATTACTACGAATAACGTATGCACATACTTACATCGATCCAAGTTGCCGTATGGTATTAGCATATCGAGAATAATACGAAGTTGCAGTCGTAGAAGTAATATCCATGGTAGCAAAGAATGTAGTCTTACTGAGTATGATTCAAGAAGAAAAAATCACTCTGTATGATATAAAGTGTGAAATCTTCACAAAAAAGGAAAAGAATAAATGTTTCTGAATTGTCAGTGAACGTCTCTAATCAGTGGCAGCAATAGTTACACTGGTCCTAACTGAGTATTTCGAATCTTCGAACATGAAGTAGGATAAAATTAGTTAATAACACACATAAGTGATATCAGTTTGACATCAGTAATTTGTCTTAGGTTGTCTGTTCCTTGATTTACAAACACATTGTATGCTTACAAGTGCAATCAGAGTCAGTTGTTCTACCGAAACTCCCCTTTGTATTTAGAAATAATTATTACAATCACAATATTCTTTACATTCGCAGTAATCGACCCTTGAACTAGACATTTCGCTTAATAGATTAGAACAGCTGACAGATTAGCTTTTTATTGTTGAAACCAAAATTATTCCAGTATCTTTTCTCTTCTTATCTGACTAAGGAAACACAATTATCAAGGATATTTATGATTAACATGCAATTAAACCATTTTATTGACATCTGGTTTCGATTTTCATTTAATTCTCTTTTTCAGCTGTTTTGTATCATTGTCATCATCATCATCATCATCATCATCATCCTGCTTATTTAACTGATTCCTTCTTTGGAATAATTTTTCTGTACGACTTGAAACGTACAATTAACTGTTTATTATCTACATTATGGTCAATATTCATTTCTTCACCATCATTTCGGCTAAATTGATTGTGATAAAGGATGTAGAAAAAATACTGATAAAGTGTAACTTCAGAAGTAGAATATACTGTTAACTAAATGTGTGTGTGGTCACATATACATAGGGGGGAGTAATCGTGATCGCTAAATTAAAGTGTCTGAACATGTACTTAAATGATTACAGAAACAAATAAAATCAAATGACCAAAGAAAAGTGGGTCATAAACATCCACCATTTTCTATCGTCAAACATATAGTTGAAACAGGTCATAAAATTGATCTTAACACAGCTTTTGTGGCGTTGTACGAAAGTGTAAAGGGGCATATAATAAGGTTCAATGAAGTTTTAACCATACGAAAATTTAAACTCTATGTATTCAAAAACACTTTCTCCTCACCTTAAACCTACTTTGGTAAGATTAACTTATTATCTAGAGTGATGAGGTTTAAATATTTTTTTCATATTATTTTCTTTACTATCTTTGTCTCCTCTTACCCCCTACCCGTTTCTAGTCTAGTTGACCTTTTATTTTTCTATATAAATGTTTTTAATAAATATATATATGATCAGATTGTTCGAAATGCATTACGCTAATATATCATATAGTACTGATAATCTTCGTCTTCTTATTACATTATCCAAATGCCATTGATTATTGATTATCTTCTTACAACTATATAAATGAGTTTTTATTATATTTTATAAAAGACATTGGAGATTTTCATTTGATACATATTGAAATGGGACATTAATGTTGATTATTAAAGATTTGCTAAGTGAATAGAATATTTAAATAAATGTTCAACACTATAAGCTGATGACAATCTATCAGTAAACTTTTCAAGAGGCCACTTAATATTAGAAATCTAAGCAATGTCAACAATTGTTCAACTACCTATGTTTCAAATATGTTCGTAAACAATTTTTTTTATCACTTAACTTTAACTTCATCTATAATCTCATTAACTAGTCAGTATGATGACTAACCATTTTTGGTGAGTGAAGTAAAACACACAAATACAAAACATACATACTAAGATGAAACCAACTATTGTTGTAGTTTGGTTTACAAATAAATCAGTTTATCTCTGTAAAATCTAGTGTAAATAAGATAATACATAAGTTCATATATTTCCATACAAATTGGTACATTAATCTCTCCTTTTTATCTATTTGTTTATACCACTTTTTTTTACCTGTGTTTATACGCTTGCACAATCACAAATCTTTATATCAACATTTTAACAAGGTACTACCACACACATATAGAAAACTTCTTTGTTGATTGAATATGTAAGAATAGTATACATAGTAACTAAGATAATAAATTAAATGCTTTGATGTAAAATAACAACACTTTAGTTTTTTTGAGAACTGATTAGTGTAATTGAATAGGAAAGCTATCGAAAATGGTAAAGATTTTATTCATGAAATAGGGTAATATGATATGATTGGGAAGTTGACAAACTTTCTCTTTGTCTAATTTGTATCAAAGTCATTTCTTTTCATTATACAAAGAAACAAGAAAATAGTATAAAATGCTTTAACATAGACTAGACTGTTTTGTTTGACTAGTTACTTAACTATTATGATATAACATAAGCTTTTGCACATAATGCACATTTTATAAGTTTTAACTGAAAAAAGTATTAATTTACAAATAATAAATACACAACCAGGTAATTAGAAAAATCATAGTGTGATATGGATTAAATCCATTAGAGTAGTATCATTATCAAATGCTTTTATTCACAATACAGAAATCTTATTTTTTTGAGTTAATTACTAGAACAGATTTTGTTCGTAGTTTTTTTTTCAAGATGAATATTGTAGAAAGTTCAAAATGAATGAAATATAGTAAAGTAATAAGTTTCTTCTAATGGAATAATTAGAAAACAGCTGACGCATAAATGGTAAACTAATTGAATGTATAGTATGTATTGTCTAATATGTATAGTATATGTATGTATGTGTATGGGTACATATGTACTGTATATATATGTACAACGTAGATATGTATAGTTGAATGCTTTTAAGCATTGTATTATCCATTAGCTGTAAATGACATTTGTTTCTTATATATTCGTTAGTTGATTATTTAAT